CCAGGGGAGGGCTGGGGAATCACTCAGAGTTACAACTGCTCTTCAGATGGCAGAGACCAGTTCCCCTGGAGAAAACAGTAAACTCTGTGTCATTATACCATGCTGGGGTTGCCACAGCAAATTGGCGCTGAGTGCCCAAGGCCAGGGAACCCGTCCAGGGCCTCTTTCTAGAGCTCACTGTATTTATTTCCACAACAGGCCTTATTCCTAGTTATTTAGAATTGTATTATTTATAGCTGTAAGCCACGCTCAGCCTGTTCGCAGGAAGGGTGGAATATAAATTTAAAAAATCTTTATATAAATATCTCAACACTTAAGTGAGCCATATGCAATCTTAAAGTACAATCTCAATTACATCCTTCACAAAACAGACTAACTTGCAAGCTGCAGGTGCTTGCAGCATCAGGAGATCGTAACCCGTGACTAGTTATTCCTAAAGCTCAAAAACTTCAGTCCGGCAAGGCTCTCAGGAATGTGGAACAGCCTGAAAGGTTAATTCATTCAACCTTGCTCAACTAGTGGTAAGCAGATGTATAAGGGGATGCCATAAGGCGTAAGCATTAATCTTACCACAGGCCAAATAAGCAGCGAGCCTGCTGTTTGGAAGAAAGCAGTGCAAGCCAGCCTGCCTTGACTTGAGATCACAGCCAGAACAGCCCCCAATGCTTCCAGTCTAAGCAATTTTATTGAACTGGATTGGGTCCCCCCCCCCGCCATTCCCTGGAGCTATTGTAGTGGGGTCACTCACATGCGCTGTTTCAAATTGCTTTGTCTGCTCCAACTCCACTTACTCGAGGGACCCCTGACCTTTCTGAGCCTGTGGGCACCTTGAGAATTCCAACAGTGTGGTGGATGCAGCCACAAAATGGCTGCACAAAGGGTTAGAGTTAGCCCTACAATGGCTGCCGCAGCTTACGACGAGTCATAGAAAAACTCCTTGTGCTATGGTGGCAGCTGCTGCTAAAGCAACATTTAAAAAAACATGCATGGCCTATCAAACCTCCACTGGCCAATAAAAAGCCTTGCTGGGCAAAAGCTCCACTGGCCCTGCCCACTTTATATAAACATACAGCAGATGCCAGGAAAGGGGTCAGAAGGTTCTACGGCACCCGTGAGCACCATGTTGGGGCTTCTGGGTTTACTCCATTTTCTCCCTTTCTGCCCCCTTCCCTGTAGAGGGCTGACACTGTTTGGAGATTTTGCATGGGATCGTATGCATTGCTGCATATAGTTGGTTTTTCTTCAAGGTACATGATAGAGCAGCTATACCGGCAGGAGTTTTAGAACATGGATCACACTGCAGCAAAAAGGCACAGAAAATGCATTATCAGGCAGCCACAAATGTTTGGACTCCACTCTTCTGTGTTCAGTTCACCAAGTAGTGGGTGGAAAAGATGACCACAGGTGTGCTTGAATTCTGACGCCTCCTTGTTTTTTTGTCAATTTTCATAGAGCTGGGCTCCTTTGCTCCCTGGAAGTTTTTCATTAACAGCCACTCAGAGGTCCATAATGGAGGAAAAGTTCCTGGGGAAAATTGTTTGCCTGCCACTGCTGCCCTTTATGTTGAACTGCAAGAGAATTTTGGTGCGCATCCTCTGTTGATATAGAACAATGGTGAAATCCCCACAGGCCTGGCCAGTGGTCTACATGAACAGAATGGGCTGCTACAACACATTCTAGAATCCAATACGAATGTTCAAGGTGCTGACTAGTAATTGTGGAAAGGGTTACCCAAAGGTAGAAGAATAAAAGTCAGTGCCTTAAATGAAGGTATTATCGAGGCATGTGAAGGGAAAATCCCAGAAATCATACGAAGAAGGGGAAAGCTTGTAAAAAACTGCATGTGAAACATCCAGGCAAAATGACAATCAAGGCAAATAAAATTCTCAGTGATTTGTCATAGCATCCAAGCCTATAATAGGATTTCTCTTTTTTTAAAGAGAGTCTTTGTATTACGATGGTCAGAGGCACATCACAAACAGTAAATTCTATATATATTATCTCAAGGTTGAATCCATATACTGGAATCAAATTATAAGATATTTTATTAGGCGAAGAGTGAAGAACAAGTAAGTGTGTCTGCTGAGATGAAGTGCTAACCACAGGGCACATACAGGGTTAGTGACAGAACTGCTAATGCAGCAAAAAAATTGGTAAGCCAAGCTCCAGCCCTGGATGCTGTGCCATACCTCACATTATCAGGACTTCCATTTTACGCACACCAGCTAACCAAATCCTACAGTTTGCTCAGTTCTCTAACTACTGAACATTTTGCAGTCTCAAATTTCTTCTGATGCTTGGAGCACACAAGTAGCTACTGCATTTGCCAAAACAAAGAACACCATGAATGTACAACTACCCTGAATATAAGATTACCCCCCTGAAAACATTATACACAAAAGGTTTGATATCATATGTAACTGTGATTTGTATGTAAATCTGAGCAAGCCCCTTAACCTGCTTTTCGGATATTAGCTACTAGCCCACACTCCTACAAAACTATGGGTACTGAATTTTCTGTTCACTGTTCTGTTCACTGTTCTTGCATGTCAACAGCGAGGAGATAAAATGAAAACCATATTTAGAAGCAAAATACAAGCTGGGCCAAGTGTCACCTTCGCTACAGATTCACAAGGTAGCTTTGGAAGACTTAGTCATGGGGCTGGTTAAAGAACCAATGTACAAAGGAAAAGCAAGATCTTGCTATGCATGGATATACGAATGAATGACGTTTGCGGGCACCTGAATGATACGGCAGCCTCCCTCACCAAGGATGTCTAAGCCATTAAATAACACTCTGAAGAGTGCATCAGAAACAGACGTTACGCTTCAGAGAGCAGCTGTGTTGGTTTGCAGTAGAAGAGCTAGGTTCGAGCCCAGTAGCACCTTAGAAACCAACAAGATTTTCTGGGTACAAGCCTTTGAGAGTCAAAGCTCTCTTTGGAGCTTGTTAAGAACATAAGAGAAGCCATGTTGGATCAGGCCAATGGCCCATCCAGTCCAACACTTTGTGTCACACAGTGGCCAAAACCCAGGTGCCATCAGGAGGTCCACCAGCAGGGCTAGAACTCCAGAAGCCCTCCCACTGTTGCCCCCCCCAAGCACCAAGAATACAGAGCATCACTGTCCCAGACACAGTGCTCCCTCTATACTTTGTGGCTAATAGCCACAGCTGGACCATATGTTATGATGCTCCATATGTTTATGTTGGTCTCTGAGGTGCTACTGAACTCAAATCATACACTGTTAAGATATCTTGCAGAAAGCACAAGGGAAGGTCAATTTTACTACCCCCGAACTTTTGCATTACAGTATGTCCCCAGAACGGTTAGCAAGGCATCGCTTATGGGTTTCACTATGCATTATATGTAAATGTAACACCACTCGCTAAAAAGGGAAATACATACCTGGTCAAGTTTGCTACACAGACAAGCAGGCAACAGCTCTATTAAAGCCAAGAAATTATTTGCTTTGCATGGGTCACACACACACACACACACACACACACACACACACACTCTCTTTACCTGCTAGACTGTGACTGATCGCTGTGAGAATTAACTGCAAAAATGAAAAATGCTGTTTTATAATCAGAACAGAAACATGGGTCTGCAAAGCTCAGCAACAGCCCCAACACAGAAGCAGCCTTGCCTTGGGGAGCAGATTGGACGGATTTGTCACAGAATTCAACTTGGATCTGAAACCTGTAATTCCACATCTGCCTGCCCGGCTGAGAAGGCCGATGCCATCTGGTTTACAAGGCCACACGCGTCGGTGGCTGTACTCGGAAGGAGCGGCTTCCAGCCTCAAAGTGACAGCAGCCTCCCCACCAAGTCCATCTGACACTAATTACCCTGGAGAGTGTGCAAGATGTGTTGGTAAATGCCTGGCAAAAGTCAGACAGAATTAGCTAATAAAGGTCAAATTAGTCTCAGACCTTTGTGACACAATTTGTCCCAGAACCGTCAGCAATGTGGTGTATGCACAGGTAATGTGAGCATCTTCCAGCTCCAAAATAAGGCAGAAACCTGCATAGCTTCGGATTAGTTTAGAGATGTGGAGCATACAAATAACATGGGCATATAGCATTCCACATGGCTCAGCAGCATTCCACATGGCTCAGCATCTTGTTTGAAGAGTTTTACCCAACCATTAGTCTCCTCATATGCAGCATTTGTGTATCAGTGATCTATGGGCCCAGAAGGATGCTACACTGGCACATTAACACTGAACATGAAAGGTGAGTGAAAGGGTTGAAGAAGAAGAGACTCCCTTCACTTGGAGTTTCAGAGTCGCTTACAATCTCCTTTCTCTTCCCCTCCCCACAACAGATACCCTGTGAGGTAGGTGGGGCTGAGAAAGCTTTGAGAGAACTACCCTTTCAAGGACAGCTCTGACAGAACTATGGCTTGCCCAAGGTCATCCAGCAGCTGCATGTGGAGGAGTGGGGAATCAAGCCCGGTTCTCCCAGATTAGAGTCCACGCTCCTAGCCACTATACCAAACCACTACATCAAAGAACCCTTTACAACAACAGTCCATGTGGAACCCGGCATATGAAAGTGCAATTTGCACATGCTGTGGGGAGATCCCCATTTTGAAGGTTTTCTAAAGATCATTTTTGTTGGATTCTGCTGCATTGTCTCATTCCATTATCTACTAATGGGAGCGGAGTATAAACACACGTGCTCTTGAGCATATAACATGGTTACCTGGCTATGACAGTGAAGTTGCCCAACTTACAGCCCGGAATGAACACTTTGCATTATGTAAAAGATACTGCTAAGCTGAATAACTTCATTCACATACAAATGATTGGCTGAAATTCAACTGATGAATAATTCAGTGTTTTAGCTGCCTCCATTTCCCGACCCCAATGCATTTCTTTCAGCTTACCAAGCACATTGACAACTTTTTACATGCAAACGCATTTAATAAACAGTCTAATGTCATTTGTAGCAATTCGTACAATGTATAGGTTTTACAGAGATTTTGGACAGCGAGAAGCATCTCGGTATACAAGTTCCAGTTCTCCTCATTACCCCCTCCACTCCTTATGAACACAAATAGGCACCCGGCTTACTTTTTTTTTTTAAAGACAATCTTTTGGCATTTCTAAGGACAACAAACCTGGCCTACAGAACCTTTACAGAAGCCTCCACACAATTTCTTCCACACAGGTCGTCTGATGACGCTTGCTTGTCTTAAGATACTGAAACTGGCATGGGGGGAGGCTCTTCCTATGTGGAAGACCTCTGAAAATAGCTGCATGTGCAGCCCTGCAGGGCATGAAAGAGATCACCACAGTAGTTGCATTATGTGGCACATTCACACAAATCATTCTTGAAGCCATAGCTTCCTCTTACTCGATACCACAAGCACAGACAGGAGCTTTTGCAGTGCATGCTCAGGGGCCCATATGGCAGGACCTGAGGAAATGAACAGCAGACTCAGAAGACCTGTCTACATTGACACCGAGGCCTCTAGGCTGGAATCATGGAACAGTTCTAAGGACATTACCGCTGTCGAGACAGGGCTGGAAAGAATGCCCTGAGCGCCTAGTGGTTCACCCACATCTCAAAATTAACATCCCCTGGCATTCTATGTTAAAGGGGATGCAACTGTGAAAAATCAGAACTGAAGTATTGGAACGCATCGTTATAAATGCCTACTTGGTCTCTCTCTACCTGGGATCTTTGCCCCAGCACACTCATGAGAGTGAAAACGCTACGCAAAATACAAAAGACGCAACAAATGTTACGCGCACGTTTTCATCTAGGTGACCTGTAGGTAAAAATAAAACTTCTATTTCTGTGAAACAACAAACAAAAAAAGGCCCCTTTGGGTGATTTCCCCATCCCCGGTGGAGCTCTCAAGCAAGGGGGAAAAAATAAGTTTGCCGGCAACGCATGTTTCTCCCCCGAAGTATTTGTAAAATATACTTTTATTGTCGAGCAGTTACTCAGGATACAAGCGGTGCTTCTCAGTCCAATGCGGGGCTACCGGAACGGTTAAAGAAACCAATGGATCTTCACGCCTGTGCCTGGCAGCCCTGGTGCAGCGTAAAACAAAGTCACTCAAAAGATAGTTTCCCAGCCTGTGAGAATGTGCTTGGTTATTAGTTACAGAGTCCCTGTGGAGCAGCAAGTTGCCGATTCAAAACAGGCGACCAGAAGACCCGACAGCGGCACACGGCAAAAAGGCAGTGCTGAAACAGACGCTCTGAATGAATGATACTCACTACTTCTTGTTTCTGGGTTTTAGCTCTTCAGCAGCGTTGCGCAGAAAGATATAGTTCTTCTTCTGCGGGTTATAGAATTCGTGTCCCTGCAAAGGTAGTCCCAGGGGAACAGGTTCAGTTTTGCAAATTTTATTTATTTATAAGTTACATTTATGAATCGTCTAATTCTCTGAGTTTCTTGGAACAATTTCATTTCTTGCTAAATATTCCACTACAGGACACCAAGTCGCCTGAAAAGCTTTTTTTGGTAATTTTCTAAATAAGGAATTACAGACTGACTCATAATTCTGCCATAAATGAAATGCTCCCAAACTTTGTTTGGCCACATTTGTAAGGTAGGGTCCTGTTTTCTCTCTGGTGATAGCTAACAGAATTAAAATTAAAATTAATCTGACCAACTGCCTAACAGAACTGCTCCTGGCAAAGCAGCTAAGTCATGTCTGGTGATTTGAAAGATTTGTGTCAGTATTATTTGCCAAAACTCTTTGATCAGTGGGCACTGCCACCAACAGTGCAAGAAATCGCCAACTTGGCCACAGTTTTCCCAACATTTTTGACCGATAGGTCTATGCAATGCAACCTAACCAGGGGTAAGTGCCATCTATTTAAGATTTTAGAAGAGTTAAAATGAACACTGAAAATCTTAGAAATAATGCTCAGTGAGCAGTCCTACCCATATTCACAGCTATGAGTATCACTACAGGAGGCTGTGATACTTACGCTGCCTTTCAATCACTCTTCTATACCTATTTTATAAAGCCTTGGTTGCTTCCACCACAGAGACAATCCTCTGTGTCATTCTCACGGCTGTGAGTGCAGACATTCACAGTGGCAACGGGGCATTCATGCTGCGGTCTCTCCTGCACTTGCTTTTCTTGCGCCCCACGGCCACCTCCCCCCCCCCATCAGAGGACTCTAAGAAACAGGCATTGATATACTATAATGATCTATTGCCATAATCTGCAAGTCCTCATTTCCATTGTTTTTAAAGAGAAGCCTCTAGTCCTTTTTGTTCAGGAGTTATGGGGAAAGGTGCAGCCTGCATTCCCCGCCCCTTTAAACTCTGCAATAAAAAGGACAGGAGACTTGTTTGTTTTTTTTGGGGGGGGGGGGAGAAGAAGAAGAGATTGGATTTATACCCCACCCTTCACTACCCAAAAGTGCCTCAGAGCGGCTTACAAACTTCTTTCCCCTCCCCTCCCCACAACAGACACCCTTGCTAGGTAGGTGGGGCTGAGAGAGCTCTGACAGAAACTGCTCTTTTTTGAGAATAGCTGTGCTAGAACTATGGCTTGCCCAAGGTCATCCAGCAGGTGCAAGTGGAGGAGTGGGGAATCAAACCCAGTTCTCCCAGATTAGAGTCCGCGCATCCAAGGCTGCCCCGAATGCAATCTCCCCAAAAGGACTGTACCAAACCAGGTTAGGAAAACTGCAGCAAAGTAGACAAATATATAAGCAACGTCATATGGGTGTTCCCCAAAAGGGCACTGCTGTAAGGAAGTCAAGGGAGAGCAAAAACATCCATGTACAAACAGCCACAGTGCTAAAATGCATCTTGCTCACTCTAAAAGAGAAAATATTTAACCTCCTCCCTCAAAATTTTATTTCCCCCCCCCCCTTTGGAACATTATTGAATTCACTGCACTCTGCAGATGTTCCCAGTTCTATTCCAATAAGGAATTCCAAGGAAGCTTGCTTATTTCAAAACTGAATAAGACCATGTGGTAAGTTTGTGTCATGACACACTGCTGCAGCACTGGGAGCTTCCTTTCTCCTAGTGGGCCCTTCAGTCCACTGGTGCTGCTGAATCTCTCCAAAGCTGCTCATTATGTTTTAGCCATCGCTAGCTCACCTTTGACCAGTCATAACTGGAAGCGTATGCAAAAATGTTGCCATTATGGTTGAAGCAACAGGCAGATATCGCCTGGTCCAGCTGCTCTGACGTTTTCAGCTTGGTCCGGGCATCTTTATCCCAAAAGCTGAATCTGCCGTCAGACCCTACAGTCGCAAGAGTGCCGTGGACGGGATGAAAAGCAATTTCATTTACCTTTAAAGGAACACAAATTTTCCCATTAAACAAGCAGTGGCACGATGCATACACAGTTACCATACACAATGCATGTAAACGTTTGTACGTTTCTAACCGTTTAAGGAGGAGCTAAATTAAGGTTGGGCTCTGTCAAAACTGACAAGCAGGAGAGCTGGCAGAAAAAGCAACCACCCTGGGATGGAGGACTGCAGTCCTTCCTCCCCCAAAACACCTTAGTTCTCCTGTAAAAAAGTAGGCCTGGGCCGACACACCACCACTAGCTCTGCAATTGAAACGGTCACAAAGGAGAAGGGGGGGGGCAGGGAGAGCTGCTGCTCTTGCCCCTCTTCGGCACTCCATGACTGAGGCCACTGGCACAGGCAGAGCACAAATATGGGGGTTAGGCCTGTTCTTCCAGGGTGGCTCTACCAAGCCAGTCATGGCCTCAAACCCCAGGGAAAGGAATGGTTGCTCCCCACCCCCTGCCAGAAGTCCCTTTCTCGTCCTAAACCTGGTTCCTTTTCAGCAAGGGGAGGAGCCCGTCAAAAACAGACAGCCTCTCTCTGTCCCACGCTCTTGGCTCTCCCTTCTGTTCTGCCTCTGCTGTGGGCATGGGGCTAGGGGTGGTGGGCTGGGGCACACAGGCCCGTGGTAGTGGGCATGTTGTAGCCACACAATACCATACCCCATTGCAGTGTTGCTCATTTTTCTCCACGGGACTGCTTGGAAGTCACTCGTTCTCCAGTACAAAGTAGAGACAAGCTCTCAGAATGCACTCTGGGAAGAGCGAGATCTGCTCCAGCACTCCCAGTGAGTTTTAGACACGGCCAACAATGTTCTAAGGACAGTGTTCCAGGCTAGCCCGATCTCTTCGGATCTTGGAAGCTAAGTGGGGTTGGCCCTGACTAGTATTTATTTTTTTTTTTTATTTACACATGCGACTTCTATACCGCTCATAACCCCTAATGGGTCTCAGAGTGGTTTACATACTTACTACTATACAGTAGTGATTGAACCTACCTAGGGCCACATTTCACAAGGGGAGGGACTTCCCTATCGACACCCTGTTGGCAGCGCTTCTTCCCTTCTCCCGGCGGGCTCCGAATGTTATTGTTGTTCTTCCAGGCCTCTTTCTGGCTGCCCGGCGACCTTCTCCCGGAGGCTGGTGTTTTTGCGCGCAAACGTTCTTCCGGCTGCAGCTTCCGGCTCACGTCCTTCCGGTTCCAGCCGTGCTGCGCCGTCCCTGCGTCTGCTTCGCCTGCGTCTCGCGTCCTTGCGTTTGCTCCGCCTTCCGTCAGGTCTGGTCGTCCGGGATTCAGCCGCCATTGTTGTTTTCGCCACTGCCGTCTTCACCTCCGTTGCTGCTGCCAACACTCCTGGCACGGAACCAGGAGGTGGGTGCCCCCTGCCACCTAGGGCAGGTACCCATTTATCTATGTATATGGATGGGATACCTCCAAGGAATACCAGGGTCATGATGCAAAGGCAGGCAATGGCAAATCACCTCTGAGCGTCTCTTGCCTTGAAAACTCCACGGGGTCATCATAAGTCAGCTGGGACCTGAGAACACTATTTACCACCAACAGTGTTCTAGAAGCCAACTGAGTCCCACAGAACTGAGATACAAGCTGAGTTGTATCTGCAAAGCTCAACAGGTCCCATTGATTAAAACAGGCTAATCATAAAGAAGAAACTTGGGGAAGTGACTATTTATATGGAGAGTTCTCTTTCAACAGCATGGAAATGGCCACATTTTGTATTCAAAAATATCCTGGGTCTCCTCCGCAGCCCACATTTCAATTACAGGTAACAGTTTTCTTCACTAATCCGTGCACACAATTGCCAGCACTAGAAGATACTTACGGCATAAATATCCTGAGGTGCAGATGTGTTTGTGCCATTGGAACGGTGACATTTGAATGTGAAGTTGTCTTTGGCACTGAAAAAAGCATGCAACCTTTAAAGTTCCATATTGCACAACACTACAGCATTAAGTATTTTTGCAAGTCAAAGTCCACATTTACTGCAAGACAAAAGCAAGCAGCTCACAACGAGTTTCAAGACACTTACGGATTTGGTGGGTTAATGTAATGAATGGCTACTCTTCCTTCGATGCTTCCAAGGGCAAACCCAGTTGGTTTGTTCACTTTGTCTTTAAAAACCGCCACACAGCGATGCTAGATGAAAAGACTGCATTTTAGACAGGTCAGTGCAGAAGTCTCCCCATTTGCTACAAGCACAGCACAGTATGAAAAATACTGAATTAAGGCCCCAGAGAACATTTGCTGATTATGAGAGCCACACGTGTTTAATGCTTTTAGATTAACTTATAGCAAAGGGTGTGGGGTGGGTGTGGATGTCAGAGCCTAAAATTTGATAATCATTTACACTTGGTTTCTTGGAAAGTATACTGCTACCTGGATACTGAAGGGGGAGAAAAACAAATGAAATGTGTGTCTCAATGGACAGTATGAGCATTCAGTAGTCGCTTAAAAGGACCAGGTGCAATGTTCCCTCTAATTTTTTCCTCCCTACTGAGCGGAGCAGTTCCCATCCTGAGCAGAATATAACTGCCGTAATCTTAAAATGGACAATGGCCAGTGCAAGACCCTGTGCGGCTCCAGACTGCTGCTGAGTGGGGCTTCCTGTGTTAATGAGCGGCCGCTCACACACACAGCTTAGAGGGAACACTGACCAGGTGGAAAGACATTATTGTAGGAGTACATCTTTTATAACAGTATTTGCAACTACAAGAACCAGAGAATTTTAGTGGGGGAAAATGTGACTGATAGTTATGATTTACACCAGTTGGTAATTAAATTATGAGCTACAGTGAAGTAACAGAATTTTGATTTGATTTATTAGACTTCTATCCCGCCCTCCTGGCTGAAGCTGGGATTTCTAATAAAGAATTCTGCCAACCGTGTTCAAAAACATTCAATTTTTTGGACCCCTCTCACAAGAGTACTTTGAATTCTCTCAAGTCAAAAGGAAGACAGCAACTGATGTGTTCCTGCATTTTGTTTCTGCTTCCTGGCAGAATTATTTGTGCAAACAGCTTTTAGAATGTGGCCTATTATATTAAAATATTTCAAATAAAAAGGTCAAAATATTTCTATTGCATAAAAAGGTCAATAATATATTTTGAGTTTTAACAAAACTTGTATTGCTTCCTCCATAATTCCCTGTCCCATTTAAAAAAACGACAACAATGGTCCAGTTTCCAAAAACAAAAGAGACTAATTCTTAAGTTCGGATATTACCTGATGTTTAAGCGGAGAGTCTATTCTTCTAAATTCTGAAGGCTGATTCTCTAACTGATAAACTATCAAACCTCTCTCTGCAGTAGCCACAACAGCCATAGGGTATACCTGGGGGGGAGAAAATTCCAGTGAAGAGAACACTTTCGATAATCACCTGAACCAAAAATTAACTGGTAGAACACAATGCAAAGGGTAATTTGATTTGAAAAGGCAACTCCAGGAAGCTTTTAATTCACAACAGTTTCACCGCAGAAAATGGGAAACCTCTTCTCTACAGGCTAATTATTATGCAACCTTCACTTGCTCAGTGTTGTGGATGACACATAGCCTTCTTACGACAGCAACACTGATTACAAAGGAAAAAATGCTGTACTAATGGAAAAACAGCACACTTTCTAGCAAATCTAAAGCTGAAGGCTTCCGACTAAAGAGCCGCATTAAACACCCAGGAGTGTCCCTGTGCCTTACCACCTACAGCCAGTGCCCGCCGCACAAATAAGTCGAACAAATTGAGCTGGTGAGAATACCATCAAGACTGTAGTACTGCGAACCTGAAACCTCTGCTCTCGCACTTTATTAGAACATGTTCCAGCACTTTAGGGTTTTTAAATGAAGTGTCATGTTATTTTATGATGATGTTATTTGTGACTGTTTTAAGTATATTTATATAAATTTTACGTAAGCCGCCCTGAGCCTGCCTCGGCGGGGAGGGTGGGGTATAAACTGAATGAATGAATGAATAAATGAATGAATGAATGAATGAATAAATAAATAAATAAAAACTAGTTTATTTACCACATCAGCACAGTAACACCGCTCGGGCAACTGCAGCGTCATCATTGGAGTTGGCGATCGCGTATCCCAAAACTCAAAACAAAACACAAAATTAAAAACATGACATTCCCCCCCCCCCCGGTGAATCCAGTATCAACAGTCCCATGTAAGTGGCGGTGTCAACGTGGCTTTGAATGGCTCTGTATCCTTAATGCAGACCACCTCCTGAAAGTCCATGTATTGGACATGGTAGACTTTGACTCAGATGTCACCTCAAAGAAACTCGAGAGACTAAAAAACACGACTACCCACCAGATTCTATCAAAAGCGCCATTCTCAGCCTTCGTATTTACACCATGGTTTTCACAGAACATTTCATACACAAGTTATATTAAACCCCTTATTCCAGGAACTCTGTATAAGTGAGACCAGAATTATCATTACACCACAGAATGAGGTGCAAGGGGCAGGATGGGTAGCCAGTGCCTTGCTTAAAGCAAGCACAGAGCTGAACTGTGGTCTGAACTGGAGACTTCCAGGTTGTACTTCACCACCTTAACCACTATGTCATAAATAACAGCCCACCCCCTTTTATTTATTAATTACACCCTTTTGACTCACCCTGCCTTCAAGGTGCTCAGGATGGCATACACTGGTTCTCCCCTCCTCCTCCTCCTCTATTTTATCCCCTTCAATCCAATGAGGTAGGTTAGGCAGAGAGCGAATAACTGGCCCAAAGACACCACCATGATTTCCTTGGCGAGTGGGGATTTGAACCCTGGTCTCCTATGCCCTAGCCCAACACTCAAACCACTATACTACACTGGATGCGATGCAGAAAATATTTACAATCTTGCCTGGAACACAAATAACACAGCTTACCTTGAGTGTTTTATCCCAGCTTCCAGTCATTACACAGCTATAATTTGGTGCTTTAATCCAGTGGACAGTCTTAACAGGCGCTTCATGCTGAACAATAAGAAATGTTTTAAAAGGTGATTAGCATATTTAATTGGTAGTCACTGGAAATCTTCCCAAGGACTGAATATGAAATATGAAAATGACTGGATTATGAAAATCTGGCAGTTGATGAAATTACTAAAACTGACAGAATTGGTAGAACTGGGAGATGGGAAGGCAACCCCCCCCCCCAAAAAAAACACCCTCTCTTTGACCAGTGCCAACCTTTTATAGGTTTTGGACTGGAGGGGGGGGAAACTTTGTTTTTCACTTTTGACTTATGCAGTTCTGCAACACTGTGTTTTAAGGATAAACTCTTTCAGTAGTATTGAAGGGGTAATTATAGGCTAAAAGTACATTCATTCCGGTATTGAATGTGAAGAACCTATTGCTGTGCAAGTAGCTCTGTGGTAAATTTCTAAGTTTATAATTTTATGCCATTAAAAGGTTATTGAAATGAATGAAGTGTGAGGCTCAGTATGCATTTTATATTTCGCCTGCCATAGAGGGAGGAGGGGGAGGGGGAGAGGGGTGTGAAAACCAAATGCTTTCATTTTCCTAAATGCTTTGATGTATCAGACACTGTGTCACAGAGACCTGTTGTTTTGTTTTATTTCTGTAGAGGGGTACGTGCTTAGTGTGTGTGTGGGGTATTTGACTTATTTCTGGCGGGCATATGCTGTGGGGTGCTTGGGTCCTGATCTTTAGTGCCTTTGCTTGAACACAATATATCTGCAATCTTTGTGCTTTCACCTTCAGTCCTAACAAAGTTCGTGTCCAGTATGGTATCTGTCTCAATAAACTTAACTTTCTTTGAAGTGAGTGGTGTGGAGAACTGATTTAAGCAGGATTCTGACATGAAGTTTATAAGGAGAATTTAAAGGCGATTTTGGTTAAATATAAGGGGAAAGTATTTGTTAGCTGAGTCAATCATCAACCAAAAGGAGACGAGACTTGGAAGGACAGCAATGAAGGAAGTAGAAAAGATCCTTAAGTGTAGGTAAGTGTCACTGAAAACCAAGGTCAAGATAATTCATACTATGGTATTCCCTGTTACTCTGTATGGATGTGAAAAACAGATGAAGAAGGTTTATAAGAAGAAAGCTGATTCATTTGATATGTGGTGTTGGAGAATTTTACGGATTCCGTGGACTACCAAAAAGACACATAAGTGGTTTCTAGATCAAACCAAGCCTGAACTCTCTACAGAAGCTAAAACGACTGAACTGAGGATATTGTACTTTGATCACATTCTGAGAAGACCAGACTCACTGGAAAAGACAATAATGCTAGGAAAAGTCGAAAGCAGCTGAAAAAGAGGAAGACCCAACATGAGACTGACAAAGTCGGCTTTTGCTCAAAGGAAGCAGAACCAACGGTTCTAAGATACAGTGTTAGGAAGACAGCCACAACATGGTCAAGATATAGGCACAGCTGAACATACTTTTCTTCATATTACTTATCAAGACCAATATATTTTATCAGAAGCACTGTTGCAAAGATCAGAAATAAACATTTCATTTCAGAGGAAGGACATGTGTGGAGGCTGAAAACAGATTAAAATTCTCGACACTACAAGAAAACCTTACAAAATTCTTTGAAGATGTCTCTGAACAGCACTTTGATTATCCTTGGAACTCATACCTGTGCAATTTGTATTGCCTGGTTACTGTTGAGGTCCCACATCTTGGCAGTTTTATCACAAGAGGCTGTAAACACTTTACTCCCATCCTGGAGGGGGGGGGGGAAGCCAAAAACAGAACAAGTGTAAGAACAGCTCTGATGGATCAGGTGAAAAGGTCCATCTAGTCCAGCCTCCCATTTCTCATAGTGACCAACCAGAGAGCCCCAGGAAACCACAAGCAGGGCATGAATACACTAGCCCTCCATTGTAACTGTTAGCAGTAAAGCCATATTTGAGTCTAGTAGGACCTTAGGGACTAACAAGATTTTTTGGGAGGTATAAGCTTCTGAGACGAAGGGAGCTTTGACTCCTGAAAGGTTATTCCTCTAAAGCTATTGGTCTCTTAAGGTGCTCCTGGACTTGAATCTAGCTGTTCTACTGCAGATCAACATGGCTACCCTCTGGAACCATCCTCATCAGTGTTCCCTCTAAGCTGAGTTAGTGCGAGCTAGCTCACAGTTTTTTAGCCTCCAGCTCACACATTTTTGTCTTAGCTCAGGAAGGATGGCTCCAGAGCAAACTAACTGATGCAGCAGTCAAATCGCTCGCTCACAACTTTAATGCCAGTGGCTCACAAAGAAGAAGTTTTGCTCACAAGACTCCACAGCTTAGAGGGAACATTGATCCTCATGGTTCGTGGTACACGGTCTCAGTACAAAGAGCCATTGATAGACCTTTCCTCCATCCGTTTGTCTAAATGCCTTTTAAAGCCATTTAAACTAACTGTCACCATACCTTGTGGCACTGAATTTGACTGTTGTTCCTTGCTGGGTCGACAGCAGCTATGGAAATGATTTAGATCAAACGTGGTGTGTGTGTGTGTGTATTGTAAATGTCTCTTCCCATGGCAACAATCTTCAGACCTGTTCCCCCAGCCCCGACTGGTTTGCAGAGGGAGAAAAAAACCCCCTCCCAGCGCATTTTGTTTGGCACTTAGCCAGTACTACACCAGCTCAATTGTAATAGCATAACACACTCACAGCATAAAGTACACATCAAACATATTTTGCACAAACAACAGACAAACTAATATAGTTCCAGAGGGCTGCCATGTTAATCTGCAGTAGAACAGCTAGATTCAAGCCCAGTAGCACCTCATTCACCAACAAGATCTTTGGGGTAGCCCTGACCAATGTTCCCTCTAAGCTGAGTTAGTGTGAGCTAGCTCATAGTTTTTTAGCCTCCAGCTCACACATTTTTGTCTTGGCTCAGGAAGGCTGGCTCCAGAGCAAACTAATTTATGCGTAGCCAAATCGCTTGCTCACAACTTTAATGCTAGTAGCTCACAAAGTAGAATTTTTGCTCACAAGACTCCACAGCTTAGAGGGAACATTGGCCCTGACCTGGGTAGCCAGGCAAGCCCAGTCTTCTCAGATCTCGGAAGCTAAGCAGGACCGACCCTGGCAAGTATTTGGAAGGGAGACCTCCAAGGAACACCAGGGCTCAGGACGCAGAGGCAGGCTATGTGAAACACCCAAGACCCACTAGAGGTCACCAGAAGTTGCCAGTACTTCCATGCATGTGCACGCACACGGACAAAAGATTTTTTTGGGGGTATAAGCTTTTGAGAGTCAAGGCTCCCTTTGTCAGATATGGCTGACAAAATCTCATACGACTCTCCAAATCTCATACCCCAAAAATCTAGTTGTCTCTAAGCTGCCACTGGACTCAAATCTAGATAAATTAATATGTAATCTATCACTTAGCCACTAAATGTATCTACACTCAAACTAGTGACAATATTGAGAAGGGCTGCTTAACCTTCTTGACTTGTGAAGTATTGCTTCTGGCTTTAAATGGACATGTGCTTAAAAACTACAACAGGAAGACATAATGCCAACTAGAAAGCCAAAGTTTAAGGCAATGGCTTCGAATCCCTGCCCCCTCCTCCCCCAGTATATTCAATATGTTTACAATATGTTTCTTGTAAAATAAAGGGACATACGTCACTCCAACAAACGTCTAACACAGGCCCTGTGTGCATCTGCTGTGCTTTTGGAATAGTCTGCCCATTGTCCTGGACTTCCCAACAACGAACCTAAAATGTAAGGGGGGGAAAAATAATTCTGAATCACCAACATACCACTTTAATGTATACAAGCTTTTGCACTATTTGCCTTTAAAACATCCTTCATGACTCCCATTTTGCACAAAGGCAACAGTCAGCGCTGGCCTCTTAATACATCCCTGCTCTAGCTGGAATTTTAACTTTAATTTCACACTAAGATCCAGTGTGGCCCAAAAGCTAGAGTGCTGAACCTTATTCACTGGGCCATGGCGGCTCTCACAGCACTGTTCTTAAGTATGCCAAGACGGCATCAGGTGTCCCAAAAACACAAAATTAAAGAAGCCTGCCATGAAGTAAACTCAGGCCTATGAAAGTCATGCAGCAATAAATGTATTTCAAAGATGCTGAAGGATTCTTGACCGTGTTATAAGTAAATGGGCTGCCTGACTCCATGCATTCTTACTCAGAAGAAAGTCCTACAGTGCTGAAAAGGGTCTTTCTTCCCAGTTTAAGCATGGGCTCTTCCCTGACATGACTGCTCTTCTGAAGTTTCCCTACTTATACAATTTCGGCAGACAAACACATAAATTAGTGTAGGTGACCTTTCACTCTGTTATATTAGAATCTGCAAGTTGAGGATAAAAGTATTCTAATTAGGGTCCCTTTAGTTTGCAACTCAAATTTTCTCCCTGTCTACAGTTTTGCCTCATTTTTAATAAGTTCTTTAGAGTAGCAAGTAACAATACTATTAAAAGCAAGTTTAGAAACTGTCTGCATTTCTAATTGTCCATACAACGTTGCAAATTCAGTTCCTCCAACAGAGGCGGTGAGAGGCAGCCGCCTTTGCTATCATTAAAATAAATGGTCACCACATTTTGCCCCAAACAAATTTTGCTATGTAAGAGGACTGCATCACATGCCTGCTATTGTATAACCTGCTTTCATTTGTTACTTACATCATTTGCCCACGATCCTGCAATAAGGAAATTACCCGGCAATGTTGGTGGACTGAAAGCCAAGCAACCAATGCTGTCATCAGGAGGAGAAGTAACTTCAATGTCCTGGAACACAAGTCAGAGTATTCTATATGCGCAGCTACTGAAACTGTAATTCTGACAATAATGACAGAGGTTCAAAACTTCCAACAGAAAGAAATGCAGAAAATCAAGCCAACCCCACTGTAAATCACCCTGCATGGCACAGTTTTCCTTGACATTATCTTCTAAACATGAAGACACTATATAAATGTTCGTGCCCAGTACTCTTTGCAAAGGGGAGATTAGGTCTCTTCCCAGGTGAGCAATGACTAAATACCTTCATTGGATTGTGGTTATCCGTAGCAGTGCTGCCAAACATGCTGGTGCCTCCCGTTCCAAACCCTGATGTTGACCCAAACAAACTCATATTGGCCCTGTGAACAACAAAGATAGACACAGAAAGTAAGCTTTGATTTTTGAGGAAAGGGTCACACAGGACGTCAAATTTTCAAAAATGTTGAAGCCATGGTGGGGGAAGAGACATGTCCCCCCATTTTTCTTGGAAAAAACAGGAGGGGGGGATATATGTCATAATGACTTCCTTATTTTGTTCCTTAGCAATGTAAAAAGCATCATTTATACCTCAGCTCGTGTATAAAGGTATATTAACTGACACATTTATACTGTTAAATACTTTCAAATTCCATAAAGGTCTACAAGCAAAATTGCAAATACTCCCATGACTAAAGCAAGAGAGAGCTGCGAACTGCTGCATCCTTTGCTGCCTTAACACACTTCACAAAGATCAGAAAAGGGGAAAATCTGTTTCATACGATTTTTTCTGCATTCCCCCAAATTCACCCTACTGAAAAAAATGGGGCCCTCAGGAAAAAAGAAACAAAGCAAAAACTCCTTTTCCCCAAATGTTCACATCTCTAGGGTCCCAGCCTCCTAGAAACTTCAGAGCAGTAGTGCTTTTAGTCGGTCGCAACATGAAAATAAACAGGAACCTTAGAGGCACCTTAAAGACAAACAAAATTGTGTTCCAGCATGAACCTTCATGGACTAAAGTCCAGTTCTTCAGATGCAATGAACTGATCCTCACTGGGCAGTTAGGAGTAGGGAAAAATAAACCAAACACAACGGGACAGAAAACACAGGATGTACCAGCTGAAGTATACTTATGTAAAATTCAGATCTAGTCAAGCAAAACACACAGATCATTCACTAGTTACACTAAACTAGTGAACACTTGTAATGGGAGGGGAAATACTGCATTTTGGAGAGGTAACTGTGTTAGTTTACAGTAGCAAATTAAAACCACACATCCAGTGGTACCTTAAAAGACTAACATTTAGTCCAGTATGAGCTTCTGTGAATCAGAGCTGACCTCATGCTCAAATAAATGTCATCAGTCTTTAAGGTATCACCGGACTTCTGGTTTAACACTTACAAGTCCTTTCAAGACATCAGACATGAGTGTGCTTCTCGCAGTATACATGGCCATCACATCCGGTGATCAGTTTGCATGCACCAAAGCTCTATGCACATGCAAAATACAGTGCCACTGTTTACAGAGCCAGTTTGGTGTAGTGGTTAGAAGAAGAGACTCTAAACTGTGAGAACCGGACTGGATTCCCCACTCCTCCACACGCAGCAGCTGGTGTGACCTCAGGTCAGTCATAAGTTCTCTCAGAGCTGTTCTTTCAAGAGATGTTCTCAAGATAACTCTCAGCCTCAACTACCTCACAGGGTGTCTGTCATGGGGAGGGGAAGGGAAGGAGATTGTAAGCCACTCTGGAGACTCCTAGTGAAGGGCAGGATGTAAATCCAATCTCCTCCTCCTCTTCGTAGACAACATGCTTATTGGGAGATGGGAGAATCACTCTCATGCTAGCTACAGAACACAGCTTGGAAAATTCCTGGAGATTTGAGCGTGATGTCTGGGGAAGGAAGCTCAGTTATAACCACAGTTTATGACCCTGCTCCAGGGAACCTGATTTCTGTAGTCTGAAAATCAGGTCAAATTCCTGGAAAACTCTAGGCGCCACCTCGGAATTGGTAACCCTACTTACAGCATGTATGTTTACTTGCCTCCCTGGCCACACATGCAGACCTGACATTTGCAGGAGGCAATAGTGAAATTTAAAAAATCCACTCATAGCTGAAGCAGGCTCCAGTCCAGGGAAACTCATACTGGAATAAAATGTATTTGGCCTTCAAGGTGCCACCAGACTGATTATTTCAGCCTTCTCCCCCACCCCCACGCCACACCACGCATCTTCCTCGCTAGAGCATGCCAGAGCCAGCCCGGGTGGGAGAACTTTCAGGCAGGAAGGCATGCGGCGCTTTCGGTCGCCCTGCTTACCCAGGAAGCGGTTCAGAGGCCACGGAAGGAAACGGCCCGCGGGCGAAGCGGGAAGCGGCAACAGCAGACAGACCCTCCCCGCCTTCTGACGTCCAGCCCTCGTTCAACGCAAACCGCCTAGCCCGGAGAGGACCAACGGAGAACAAGGCCTCGCTCCACTACGCATGCGCAGATCGGAACGCACGGAAGACACCGGCAGCCGCTCGTGGCATAAGAGCGGGCGGGGCTCAAGGCGGTGGGCGTGGCCGGCTGGCAGGCGTGAGGCTTGGTGTGGTTAAGGGGGGGGGCTTTTCCCGCCGTTCCTGTCGGCGGAAGATAAGGAGATATTTGCTCCAGCTGCGAGTCTGTTCTTGTGATTAAGGGTTACGCTGCTCGGGCGCGCGCAAGAGGGGAAAATGTTGATTTCCCACAGTGAACAAACAGCAGCGCATCCCTAAATATGTACCGCTTGCGGCAATTCTAAATAAAGGCAGTGGTCTAAAGTTAAATTTGGGCTTTGCCCGCCGTTGTGCTTTTGTTCTTTCCGAGGACTGGTGAAAAATAGCATTGTCTGAAGTGTTGGCTGGCGGTTTTTTATTATCTTGTAGTAAAACTTTATAAAGAAGAGTAATTATTCGCCGCCGGGTTTAGGAAAAATAAGAACATAAGAGACGCCAATGTTGGATCAGGCCAAAGGCCCATCCAGTCCAACACTCTGTATCACACAGTGGCCAGAAATACCAGTGCCATCAGGAGGTCCACCAGTGGGGCCAAGACATTAGAAGCCCTCCCACTGTTGACCCCCCCCCCCAGCACCAAGATGGCAGAGGGCGTGGTGGATATACGACTTTCTTTTTCCTGCCAAAAGTAACCACCGCTTATAGAGAAGAGTTTGGGCCCAAAAGACATATGAATGAAGCGGTCTTAAACTGAGTAAGATCATTGGTCCCTGTAGCTTAGTGATCGGTATTCCGGCTTGCAGCTGTTCTCTGGGGACTCATGTGAAAGGGTTCTCCCCCAACACCTGCAGACAGCAAATGCTAGGATTGTCAGAGATTGCAGCTGTGGCCTTCTGCATGCAAAGTATGTGCTCTGGCACTGAGGTACGAAGACGCTTCCTCAGAAAGTTGTGAGGACCATGTAAGAGATACAGAGAATGATTGCTGTGGGAGCAAAAAGCAGCAGAAGAGTCACTACCACATCTACCCCTGCCCTGCGTCTGTTAATAAAAGCTGTTGAGGCAGGTTTTGTGTCTCTTTCCCCCGTTTCTCACTCATTGGACCTTTCCACTTTCTTTATAAATGTTAATACGGTACAGGGATCAACTGCATCCAAGCATATAAAGACCAGGGTGTCAATCATATGGCCTGTCCAGCCTTATCCGGACTGCAAGCAACTGGTCATTTACCTTTACTGCCAGATGACAGAGGCTGTGCATTGTGTCCCTGTCTATACTGTCCCAGTGGTAATGAGTAATGGGTGATGGGAGGGTGGGCATCAGGGAGAGACTATGGAAATGCCGTAAGAGTGTTATTATTTTAAACATGTTTGTATTTTGAGTAAAAAATAATATCGGCTGCGGTCACACGCAACATTAGCCACGCAAGAGATACAGAAGACAAGCGGAGTTTCCGGTCGCGATCTCACCAGCACATCTGGGAAGCGTAGCGCTTCCGTGGCACAACTGAGGCTTCCTGCCGAAAAAGCGCAGCAAAAAACTAGTACCTTGGAGGTACTAGTTTCCAGAAACTGCGGGGCAAGGGCGGGCGTCTGATCGCGTTTCCGGTGGTATCCGGCGCCCGCCCATGTCCCCTTGCGGAAAAGGGTTTTTTTCCCCCCACGTCTCCGTGGATGCGCACACGCACCCAACGGAGCATGCGCATTCGTAGTGTACACAAAAAAAGAAAACCAGTTCGCCGCGCCGTGCGCTTCTTCATTGCGCGCAGGCGTGTGTTGTGATCGGCACCTCTCCCTTGCCATGGAACCTCCACAGTACCTCCACAGAACCTCCACAGTAGGTCTGATCGCTTTACTGCATGTTAGTTTGCCCCGGGGCAAACAGCCACACTTCTCCTCTGCAGTTTCCTGCCCGTGTGGCAGGGGCCTACATTGGCTTTTCCTGTGTCCTTTATAAAGTTTATATCTCCGGTACCTGGCATTACATTTTATGGCACGCATGGCCCGGCCCGACCCCCCTCATAACATATGAGTTTGACACATACACCCAACCAAATACAAACTTGATTTTACTTCATTTATTGTTTTCATCAGAGGTTATTTCGGGGGGGAACGCGGGGGAACCGGGTGAGGTACGGGGTGGGTGGGGCACATGACGAAGCCCCGCCCCCTGCTTCCGGCCGCCCCGCTTCCGGCCCTGATTCAGCCAGGAGGAGGCAGGAGAAGAGGGAGGGTAAGTTGCTTCCTCCCTGCCTCTCCCCACCCCTGCCTGCCTGGGGCCAGGGAGGGCCTTTGCGGGGCTTCCTTGCACTCCCACCGGCCTTGCAGGTTCACCGCCGGGCCCCTCATGGGGCTCGGCAGTGGAGCTGCAAGGCTGGCGGCGGCGGTCGAGACAGTTGGGGGCGGGGTGTGTGGCCTTATGACACACTTCCGGTGATGTCAGGGGGTGTGGCATATGCTAATGAGTTCCCCCAGCTCTTTTTCTACAAAATGACCCCTGGTTTTTATGATAAGTAAAGGTCTACAGGTGAAAGAAATCAAATTGTTTTTGAGCAGGGCAGCTGGAAATTCCTTTGCATGTAACTGGTAAATGATATAAATAATGACAAATAAGGGCTAAAATGTACGGTATTGTTATTCTGACTTTGCATTAAAATGTAGCTTGCTTTGCTAAAAATTGGATTGATTGGATATTCAATGTTAGGTCAAGTAACTGAGGTTTACTTCATGTTTAGATCGTGATAACTAATCAAAGTTTTAAATCAGAAATGTAAGGTTTTTATTTGTATTACATGTGATCAAAACATGTGATCAATACATGTTAAACTTAAAACACCTTTGAAGTACTGCAAACACAGATGAAGACATAGGTAACAAAATTATAAAGATGTACAAGAAGAAATTCTCAAAAACATTTTCAAAATTCCAAACTGAATATCTTCATAGTGTTTCATTCAGAATGACTGCCATATTTATGAAGTCTGTTTTAAGAGCTCTGAGTGAAACCTGCCTTTTGAAAGATTGTCTAAATATTCATATCCATCCACCAAACTGCAGCTTGTTTGGCAAATATACTTTGGATAGGTAATCTGATGAAAAAGAAGTCAAAGCTTGGATTTCAGCCTTCATTTTAGATACTGCCATAATATCTAGCTGAAAAGAAAAGCATTGAAAATTAAATTTCAGCTGAAACATATATGATGCACAATTTTAAAGAAACCAGAGGAGTCACTGCAGCACAGCAAAAATATGATATAGCCTTGTTGAAGGCTGACTGGTTCACATCATAAAAGATAGTTTACCTTGGTGCCACATAACTCTTTGGCTACAATCCATTTCATCCCCCCCAGCCACTGAGGGCTTTTAATTTTTTAAAAGATTGGTATCTAGAATATTGTTATATCGATAGACCATTGTAGACGTAGCAGGTTCTCAAAATTCTCAGCTTTCATTTTAAAAAAATTAAGTCTGTAGCACATTCACTTGCAGAGATAGAAGAAAAATAGCATATCTTTGCACCATAGGGTTTCCTACTAGAGACTTACTTTAAAAAAATAAAAGCTGGGAATAAATAGAACCTGCTAAGATATAGTTATAATGGTATGTTGATATAACGCTATCCGAGTGCTGATTTTGTTTTTGAACTGCAAAAGCCCTGATGGGCCCAGGTGTGTGTGTGGGATGCCCATTGCTAGGGGACTGGGGGAGGGAACCTGCTGGGAAACCGCCATATGGAAGCCCCAGTGCTGCTGTGCTTTGTCTGCAGCTGCACCAGCAATGGGGAAACCACAAGATCCCATTCCCAAGTCAAAGACTCATTTGCCTGCATTTATTTGCTATTCTCTTAGCCCTTATATGTGTTAACTTCTACATTCATAAGTTTGCTCTCATCTCTATAGTACAGCAACCTTTGGACGTAGAACAGTTAGAATAACTATGGGCAACCCGTTCAGAGAACACGGAAAATTGCAATTAGTCCAAACCATGTTTCGCAAAGCCAGCTTAAATAACGGGTTTTGGTTCTTTATTGATTACAGTTTCACAAACCATGGTCTGTCAATTCAGGTATTACAAGTGGGGGACCCACAAAGGCTCATGGGGGGTGTCTCAATACCTCCAGATACCCTCCCCCATTATCTCCTTTCTCCCTTACCTTGGGAGCCTCCATATCTTCTCCCCTTTCCCTGCTTACCTCTCTCCTTCCCAACCACCAGCCAACCTGCCTTTTATTTGCCCCCATCTTCAGCTATGTTTATTATTTATTTACTTCATTTATATTCTGCCTTTCCCCCCAGTGGAGATCTAAAGCGCCTTATATTATTCCCCTGTCCTCCATTTTATGTTCACAATAACCTTGTGAGGTAGGTTAGGCTGAAAGTGTGTGACTGGCCCAAGGTCACACAGTTAACTTCCATGGCAGAGGGGGGATTCGAACCTGGGTCTTCCAGATCCTAATCCGAAACTAGCCACTACACCACACTGGTTTTCATACAGTTGCTGCAGTTGCATAGTAGTGAGCAGCTGAGCCTGCTAGTGGTTGCTGCCATGCCTGGCCCTACTGAGTCCTCCCTCAAAAGCCTGCTCTTTATTGACAGAAACTGAGACCTGCACGCTGGCAATATTGTTGTGGTTCCCTAGCAACCCCCCCCCATGGTCACTGAAGAGGACACTTTTTTCTTATTATTTTGGGGTTTTTTGCCTAACCCTCTATGTAGTGTTTTTTAAGGATTTCAGATTTTTCTGCAAACCGGGAGTTTTTCTCAGGTTTGTAGAAAGATCTGTCTTGTCTGTTTGTAATGTATTCAGCCTGACATGCCCGGACTTGCCCGGGCTGGCCAGGCACAACTCTTCAATAGCTTCATGTCCAAAGACAATGGGTCCGTAGGATCCTAGCCGGCCCAATCAAAGGGCCAGCTTCTCAGCCGGGAGACCAATGGTCGCCCGGTTACTGTAAATAGCCTATCGGAAGTAGGGGGTGTGTTTAGGTGTACTTGGTGGCGGGTTTTCTGAACCTATATAACCAGCCTGCGAGCTGGTCCCTTCGTCTTTGTCCTGAACTAAATAAAGGTATGCTTAGCGGAAATCACTCTCCGTCTGCATACTTTTCACTGGCAACGAGGATGGGATCGACGACCCCATGAACAAAGACCCGGACGCCAACGCGAGCACCGCACCGAGCCCCGACGCCGAGACCTCCGGGAACCGCGCCGCTTCGCTTCCCAGCTCTCCGGCAACCGCTCATCGCGCAGCTCCCGGCTCCGCTTCGCTCCCTGCTGACCCCGAGAGCAGCAGCGGCCTCCACAACGCTCCCGACGCCATCGCCGTTCCAGAGGCCACCCCACCACGTGGCTGCAACACAATGGCGACCGCGACCGCAACTGAAAGCCTGCCCGCTTTCGATCTCTCCCAGCCCTCGCTGTGGGACACCTGGCTGGACACGCTGGAGAGCCGCTTCACCATCCACAAGGTGGTGGATGACGCGATGAAGAAGGCTTACCTGCTGAGCCACTGCGGAATCCAGACCCATCGGCTCCTCAAGGACTTAATCTCGCCCAAACTAACGAAGGACGAGTCATACAGCTCCTTAGTCCAGGCCCTGACCGACCATCTGGCTCCCAAACCCACGAAGTACGTGGAGCGGTTGGACTTCTTCGCAAGAGTTCAGGGCCCCAGCGAAACCACCTCCGATTTTCTGGCGGCGCTGCGGAGCCTGGCGACCCGGTGCTCCTTCCCCAGCCTCGACGATACCCTCCTGAACCAGTTCCTCGTCGGACTCCGGGAGCCGAAGCTGCAGAGGAAACTGGTGAGCCAGAACGATCTGAGCCTGGACAAGGCCATCCGGGAGGCCTCAGCATACGAACAAGCGCGACAAGACCGCCGCGCCAAGGCGGTCCACCGTACCCAAGTGAGCAGCGGCTCCGACGTCTCGGACCAAGAGGAAGTCCTGCAACTCCGACAGCGGACTCAGCAGCGACCAAAACACGCATCCTCCAGGACCAACAAGGCCCCGTCTCCAAGCCAGTGCGCCAGCTGCGGGGAGGGCCACGAACGCCGGTCGTGCCGTTTCCGGAATGCGGTCTGCCGCTCCTGCAACAAGGCCGGACACATCGCCAAGGTCTGCCGGTCCCAGGGACAACGACCGAGATCGGCCACCCACCAGACCACCGCGGAACTGCCCCTGGAGCTCCACACCGTGTCGTCCCACTTCCCACAGCACCAGGTCTGTAACCTGCCCCCCGACGGCCCAAATAAAATGCATGTGACGGTCCTCATAGAGGGAGCCCCCTGCACCATGGAGATCGACACCGGGTCGACCTACTCCATAATATCCGCGGACACGCTCCGTTCACTGTGTCCTCAGGGGGGGCCACCACTACAGAAGTCACGGGGTTTCCGGTTACGGGACTTTAACAAAAACCCCGTGGCGGTGGTGGGCTGGGGCAAGTTCCGGGTCCAGTTTCAGGGCTTCAAGGGCCAACTGGACCTACTGGTTGTGGACCGCCCCCTCTCCAGCTTGTTGGGACTGGCCTGGTTCAAGGCCCTGGGGCTCTCCGTTACGGGCATCAACCAGGTTGGAGCACAGGATTTCGGGGCGGTGTGTGCAGAATTCCCCCGCGTCTTCGATGGGACCCTGGGGCGGTACACGGGCCCCGCCATCTCCCTGGACCTAGACCCAGCGATACGCCCCATACGCATCAGGTCCCGGCTGCCCCCGATCTCCATGAGGCCGAAGGTGGAGGCCGAGCTTGATCGCCTGGTTGAGCAAGGCGTGCTAGAACCTGTGGCGTCGGCCCGGTGGGAAACCCCCATTGTCACACCAATCAAGCCGAACGGGGACGTCCGCATCTGCGCGGACTATAAATGTACCATAAACAAAGCCCTACAGCCCCACGCATACCCGGTGCCGGTAGTAAGCCAAGTGCTGGCGGCCCTGGCCGGGGCCCGGGTGTTCGGCAAACTGGACTTGGCCCAGGCGTACCAGCAGCTACCGGTGGACGCCGCCACGGCCGAGGCCCAGACCATTGCGACCCACAAGGGGGCCTTCAAAGTGCACCGCCTCCAGTTCGGGGTCTCAGTCGCGCCGGGGATCTTTCAATCTTTTATGGATTCCCTTCTTAAAGGCATCCCCGGAGTTCAGCCGTTTCTAGACGACGTGCTGATCGCCGCGCCAGACCCCTCGTCCTTCGCAGACCGTCTGAGGGCCGTTTTACAGCGCTTCGACGCGGCGGGCCTCAAGGTGAAACGGGAGAAGTGCCTACTGGGGGTGCCGCGGGTGGAGTTTCTGGGCTTCGCGGTGGACGCCGCCGGCCTGCACCCCTCCCAGGACAAGGTAGAGGCCATCACGCACGCCCCGGCCCCGAAGTCCAAGACGGAGCTACAGGCGTTCCTGGGCCTAGTGAACTTCTACCACTCCTTCTTGCCCCTGAAGGCGGCCGTCGCAGAGCCGCTCCACCGCCTCCTCGACAAGTCAGCACCATGGGTCTGGGGGCCTCCGCACGCCGCGGCTTTCCAAACAATAAAGGACCTCCTGGTCTCTAATGCGGTCCTCGCCCATTTTGACGAGGCCCTTCCCGTGGTGCTGGCGTGCGACGCTTCTCCCTATGGGGTCGGGGCGGTCCTGGGGCACAGACTACCGGATGGTCGCGAGGTCCCGGTGGCCTACTACTCGCGGACACTGTCGTCGGCCGAGCGCAACTACGCGCAGATCGACAAGGAGGCGTTGGCAATCGTGGCAGGGGTGAAAAAATTTCACCACTACTTGTACGGCCGTCCGTTCACGATCCTGACGGACCACAAGCCCCTGCTGGGCCTCCTCGCACCCGACCGGCAGACACCGCAGATAACCTCGCCCAGGGTGCTACGCTGGTCCATCTTCCTGGCGGGGTATGCGTACGACCTCGTCCATCGGCCCGGACAGGCGATGGGCCACGCTGACGCTCTGAGCCGCCTGCCCCTCCCCAAGTGCGACCCGGACCCGGCCCCCGCGCTCCTAGTTGCGAGCCTGGAAGCCCTCACGGACCAGCCGGTCCATGTTTCGGAGGTGGCACGCTGTACCTCCAAGGACAAGACATTGGGAAGGGTCTTGGACTGGGTGGTGAGGGGGTGGCCCGAGGCCAAAGGAGACCAGGACATCGCCCCGTTCGCCACCCGGAAACACGAACTCTCAACCCACAAGGGGTGCTTGCTGTGGGGAAGCCGGGTGGTCATCCCCTCGCCTTTAAGGGAACGGGTACTCACCGCCCTGCACGAGACACACCCCGGGGTGGTGCGGATGAAAGCCCTGGCCAGGAGCTATGTGTGGTGGCCAGGACTGGACGCGGACATTGAAGGGGTGGTCAAGAGGTGCCAGCCCTGCCAAGCCTCGCGGCCGGAACCACCCCGAGCGCCCGAGAGGGCCTGGGAATCCTCCCACCGTCCCTGGTCCCGCCTCCATCTGGACTTTGCTGGACCCTTCCAGGGCAAGCTGTTCTTCATCCTGGTGGACGCATACAGCAAGTGGCTGGAAGTGGTCCCCGTGCCCTCCACATCCTCGCAGGCCGCAATCCGGGCCATGTGGAGGATCTTCAGCGGCCAAGGGATCCCCGACACGCTGGTCACGGACAATGGAACCGCGTTCACCTCGGCCGAGTTCCAGGCTTTCACCAGGTACTACGGGATCCGCCACGTCCGATCCGCCCCGTTCCACCCTGCCACGAATGGCCAGGCGGAGCGCATGGTGCGCACCACAAAGGACGCACTTCGCCGACTGGACTCCACCGATTGGGACTATAAACTAGCAGCCTTTCTCTTCGGACAGCGTACCACGCCACACACCACGACCGGCCGCTCCCCGGCCGAACTACTGCTGGGCCGCCGCCTGGCCTCCCGACTGGATCGGTTACACCCAGACCGAGCAACCCCGGAGGCCCCGGGCACCGAGACGTACGAGTCGGCCAGAGGGTTCTTTCCAGAGGACCCGGTGTACGCACGAAACTACGGCCAGGGGCCCCGATGGATCCCGGCCCGAGTTGTACGGGTCAAGGGCCCCCGTTCGTACGAGGTCTCCAGCGAGGATGGCCAGATCCTCCACCGGCACATAGATCAGCTGCGCCGTCGCACGCTACAGCTGGACCCTGAGGATCCGGACGAGGACCCAGAGCCTGCCACATCGGCCCCACTCCCGGCACCGGATCCACAGCCGCCTCTCCGTGAGGAACCCGAGGCACCTCCCACCGTGGTGCCAGACTGTCCTGCCTCCTCGGCGCCCTCGCCGCCTCCGAGCCCCTTGGCTCCCAGGGCCCCCGAGACCGAACCCATCGCTACCCCGGAGCCCCGACGCTCGACGCGCCCCAAGAAGCCACCCGCCTACTTGAAGGACTTCGTCTGTGGGTGCCTTCTGAACCAAGGGGGGAGGGGTGTAATGTATTCAGCCTGACATGCCTGGACTTGCCCGGGCTGGCCAGGCACAACTCTTCAATAGCTTCATGTCCAAAGACAATGGGTCCGTAGGATCCTAGCCGGCCCAATCAAAGGGCCAGCTTCTCAGCCGGGAGACCAATGGTCGCCCGGTTACTGTAAATAGCCTATCGGAAGTAGGGGGTGTGTTTAGGTGTACTTGGTGGCGGGTTTTCTGAACCTATATAACCAGCCTGCGAGCTGGTCCCTTCGTCTTTGTCCTGAACTAAATAAAGGTATGCTTAGCGGAAATCACTCTCCGTCTGCATACTTTTCACTGTTCATGGCCCCAATAACCAAATTTAAGTGTCTTCAGACAGGCTATGTTGAGAAGTAGATATATTGACTAGTGGGGACCCACAAGGACTTGCAAAAGACCTCATTTCCCCCTCCCTATTTCCGCTTTCCCTTCCCTGAAAGCCCCCATAACCTCTCCCCTTTTCCTGCCTCTTTTTCTCCTTCCCACCCAATAGCCAACCTACATTTATCTGTCTTCAGTCTTCCCTCCTTCCTTACCCCAGGAGCCTCTACCCATGAAAATTAGGGCCAGTTGCACAATACCAGTCACAGGATAGAGCCTAGTTGCACAGTGCACAACCTGCAAGGACTTATGGTCAGTGTTCCCTCTGAGCTGAGTTAGTGTGAGCTAGCTCACAGTTTTTCAGCCTCTGGCTCACACATTTTTGCCTTAGCTCAGGAAGGATGGCTCCAGAGCAAACTAATTCATGCAGTAGCCAAATCGCTCGCTCACAAATTTAATGTCAGTAGCTCACAAAGTAGATTTTTTTCTCACAAGACTCAGCTTAGAGGGAGCATTGCTTACGGATGTGTGTGTGTGTGTGTGATGGCCTCCTCTGCCCAGCCCAGTGACTCTGACTCAGAGCCATCAAGAGAAGAGACCGAGGAGGACCGGAGGGCCCAACACTGCTAAGGTGTCTGCTGCCAATTTTGCAGCAGAGCCAGAGCACACACCCACACCCCATCAGTGTCTACAAGGGATAACTCACCACTGGCCCCTAAAATGACCACCAGGGGACACTCTCACTCTGCAGGAATGGTGGTAGCAAAAGGCCTAGGCCAAGGTGACCGAAAGGAGGCAAAGTGCTTGACTGGCTGCACGCAACCCAATCCAAGAGCCAGACAGTAAGAACAATAATCCTTTGCAGGACCCTGGCCAAAGCACAGGGCAGCCACAGGAGCTGAACACCTGCCCAGCAGGGCAGTTGAGCCTGATTACTTCCCAGCCTATTTGGGCTGAGGCTTGAGAAGGCTGTCTTTCATGATCAACTGGTCCAGTAGGTGCAAGCCTGAGTGTCAGCCCCAGTTCCTTGCTGCCAGCACTTGTTAACGGTCCCAAGTTTTGCTATCTAGTCCTATGAGCCCTGCTCCAGAGAAGACCTGGCTGGACGGATACACCACCACACTGGCTTTTGTGGGGTGGCTGCTGTTTAACAGTAGCTTGCCTGACCACTCACTCGGCCTCTTTCCTACTGTGGTGGCTGCTGCTCACCCCTGCTAGCGTTGCTGCATCAGCGGCTCTGCCAGCTGCTTGCCTGGCCTCTCTCCTGCCCAGTGGTGGCACCTTGCTTGATCACCCAGCAGCTTTGCTGCCTTGGCAGCGGCAGCCCCTCACCTTTTGCCCCCAGTCTGTTCACTGCCTCAACTGCTAACTCAGTTACTTGCCTGGCCTCTTTGCTGCCGCAACGGCAACTCTGCTTCTACCTACCTGCAGCTTCACCGCCTGAGCAGCATGTTGGGTGGAGGAGCATAAGAGCTGCACAGGTGCAAACAAGACTACTAGTTTGGGGGGGAGGGGAATTAAACCCCTTGATGTATTTTTTTTAACATTTTCAAATTCTTCTGCAAACGGGGGGGGGGGTTCCCCCACATTTAAAGAATAGTCTCCTTTCACTCCTTGTGGGCCCAATCCATGGATTTAGATATCTGCAGGTCTGCTCACACTTGAGAAATAGATATATAGATGATTATAGTTATGCTATCTTAAGCGGTGTCTCAACTGTGCTGCAAGGTGTTCTTTATGTTTTAAATATCTTTCTGGAAAGAACTGACAAAATATCTTACAAAATAAGTAGTGATGATGTCACTAACATGCATATAACTGAGGTGCTTCTCAATCAGATCAACTTTTAAGGATCCACATCAAGCAAAACTGGGCTATAGGGGGCAGAATGGGTTGCCAAGGGAGTGAAGGCATATTGGCCTGTCCAGAGACACTATGAGACACCCCCACTCCTGAGTAGAAACAGAAGAGGAAATCCAGGGGCAATTTTCCACCAGGCAGGATGTCAGGTTGGAAGCAGTGCTCCCTCAGTCCACGTCCTACCATCAAAAACCTCTCTGTATATCTGCAGAGCTTTCCATGAGCAGAATATAATTGGTTGGAGTACTCAAGATACAAGAAACAGAGAGGGGAAAAAAGCATGGTTTATACATACCTCTTTTTTCCAGGTTGGGTGATAAGAAATGTAAGGTCTCTTCTGCAAACTGGCTAGCTTACTTTGGTCTCGTTTAGTAAATGGAATCAGTGCACTCTTAGGAACATTCAGCCTAAAAAGCAGATAGTTTGGCTATTTTGATTTTTCAAAACTGTTTAAAAATAGTAATTTTGCGACCCACAACATGTTCAAATAATAACAGTGAGACACTGCTTTGTAAAAGAAATCCAGAGAGATTAAGGGGGCAAATTACATATTGTAGGGGATATGTCGTTAGCAGCATAACACACAGCCCAGGTCTGGGATGGGAAATTCTTGGACATTTCAGGGTGGAGCCTAGGAAGGACAGAGTTTGAGGAGGGGAGGGAACTCAGTGGGGATGTGATGCCATGTAGCCCACCCTCTGAAGTTGCCATTTTCTCCAGGGGAACTGATCTCTATAGTCTAGAGGTCATGGCCCCACCTGGAGATTGGCAACCCTGATATACAGTCTCCCAGCACGGCGAATTACACATCCAAAGGCGATTTCCCCATCTGCAAAACAGGATGGGGGGAAGCCTGAAGCCTCTCTCGCACCATGATCTGCTGCCCTACTTGCCTGGACAAGATGTTAATGCCAATCTGCATGTATTTTATTTTGTTGCGTAATTTATTGTGCTTCTGCTAGTCATGGGGAGGAGAAAACAGTTCTGCAGAGCTCTGAAGCTTCACCCCCTGCTTAGCTCTGTTAGCTTTTTAGATTTCACCAGACATTGTCCCACACGTTTAAGTCTTTCATTGCACTCTTAGGAATTTTAAACTCGCTTTTGAGGGGGAACAAAAACAGCAGACAAAATTCTTACAATGTTGAATTATGTGTGAAATAGTTTTGTGCTTGTCAAATTGTGGATATGGAAAATACATGGTTTTGAGTGTCACATATGAATGGAGAATTAGTTGTAAATAGCAATTCAGAATTACAGAACATAGTAATACACAGCCATGCTAACACAGGACTGGATCTTCAGTTAATTTCTGGCTGGACTCTTGTAGCTAGATAAGGCACTGAGAGTCTTAATAGACTGTTCTTAACAACATCTACCAATGTGTATTTTTAAATAAAACAGTAGAATTTTTCCAGTTTTATGAGATTTAAAGCAGACTCCTTGTTGGTTAACAAAACCTGTTAACTAACCTGTCGAAATCTGATGGAAGGAGTCCAAGCCATCTTATAGCTGGAACTGTGAGGTGATGGGCTTCAAATGACATTGACTAAAGTATAAAATAACAAAATTGTGCTTAATCCGGTTTATATTTGCTGTTATTGAATTGAAACAATCTAAAATCAGAGTTTCAAGCAGTAGTACTAAGACCATATTTGGGAAGCAGTTTATTTGACATAAAAGTATATTATGGGAACATACAATGGATGAATTGTACACCTGAACACATGAAGCTCCCTTACACTGAATCAGACCCTGGATCCATCAAGATCAGTATTGGCTACTCAGAGTAAATGTGGCTCTCTGGGGTCTTATGCAGAGGTCTTTCACATCACCTACTGTCAGATTCTTTAAACTGGAGTTGCCAGGAATTTAACCTGGGACCTTCTGCATGGTGAACAGATGCTCTGCCACTGAGCCATGGCCCCTCCCTGAACTGTATTTGTTCACTGTTGTGGTATTTAGTTCTGACTGATCTCACTTTTCTATAATAGTGCACTGAGGTCCACTTTGATTGTCCTGCTTTTTTATAGTTACATCCATCATTATATGTGTTTATGCTTCTGCACAGTTAAAACAAATTTAAGTCCATGAACAACCGCACCATCTTTCTGTTATAATCGGAGCTGAATTTAAACTAAAGAGTCACACACTTGACAGCAAGCATTATATTCTGAACCATGTGTTTCCCATTGATGTACTTTGCAGGAGGAAAGAAGTAGGCAGGGGGCAGTGTCTCCCTCCAATCACAGCTTTTACAAACCCACCAGGTGGCTTTGCTTGTACCAACCATGCTTCCAAGACTTGTTTGTGGAAAAGAAGCTGGGAAGAAGGGATTACAAAGGAAAACCAGCAGAGGGAAGGATTTCAGTATCTTCTCTTCTTCCTGAGGCTCCTCTACAAATTGTCCCTTTTCATATAGAAAACACTAGACAGATTCAGGATGGAGAAATACTATCATGCAGACTGGGAAATTAGAAAAACATCAAAATCGGTACTAAGTTTGTGGTTCATGCATATTCTAACACTGTGGTCTTCAATGAATTCGTAGTGACTCACAAAAGCTCTTACCCTGCACAAATTTTGTTAGTCTTTAAGGTGCTAGTGGACTCTTGCTACTATGTACAGACTAACATGGGCTACGCATCTTAGTTTATACTATGGGAACAAAATTATTAAGGACAAAGATAATCTATTCCAAATAAAAGCAAATAGGCTACTTTCCAGTAAAAGAGACTAAAATTGTAAAGTTTAAATGGCAGAAATGTTCCCCTGCTGCCTCCATCAAGGTACAGGCAATTATCAGGTAGGTGCAAACTTGTTCTTGATTCCTCTCTAGGGATGCTACTGAATTTTGCAGCCATATTTTTTTCAGTCCAAAAATCACTTTCCTTTATGTTTTTCCCTTGTGCAAATTGAACCTGTGAACCTTTATTTTCATGCCATTTTCTGTTTCCCTGCACCATTTTTTTTGCAATTTTTTACATTGTTTTTGTGTCAATTGCATATAAATGCTATGTATAAAATATAAGTGATGTGGAAATGTCATAAGAGAAACAAATGGCTCAGGAATACTACCAATTTAAAACTGAGGAAAAATTACCACAGATCCATACTTGTAGACACACATTATTTCGATACCTAGTTGAAAAAACAGTATCAGTTATTAGGCCTTGTCTGCTTTTGAAGCATGATATATTATGCAACTTCACTTTCCCATATATGGGTATAAAACTGAATATAAACAATAACAAAACAGTCATTATTTGTTTTGCTTCACAGCCACCTGTAAAGCATTTCATTAAAACAACAGGCCCATGACAAAAACAAGTTTCTTGCCTGTGGCTGTTGCAGCCACATAAGTAAGTAGGCAAATAAATAAATAAACAAACAGGAACACGACCTCGGAGCTGGAAACGACATGTCTTTTTGTACTGCACTGCTCAACATTTAGTTTGTCTGATCTCACCTGTTCCCACCTCTAGATAAGTCACCTTGCTATTCTTCCTATATGTGTGATGCAGAGAAGCCACAAAGGAAGAAAAACAAGTTATTTACCTGTAACTGTTGTTCTTCAGGTGGCCATCTGTGCACCCAACTGCCTTCCCCACAACAAATGTTCCTTTGCTCCTGCTGTGTCTGAGAAGAACCAAGCAGAAGACACACCTCTGCCCATTGTTAAGCTTAGCTCTAAAATTTCCAAGCAATATTCTGCATAGGCTCAAGTTCCCATACATATGATTGCCGGGGAGTGGGACCCTGCCTGAACTTACCAGCTGGAAGGTGGGGGTTCAGCAGCAGCAGAGGCACAAGCTCCCTCTTCCTCCTCCAGGATGTTGGCAGACAGTCAGGACAACCCCTCCTGCCCCACCAGCTAGGGGTGTTCTGTTGTGACAGCGCCAGCGTGTCCTTGTCTGGTCAGGAGTGAGGCTGGCCTGGTGTCACCTCCCCAAGCCATAGCAAATCCCGGCAGGCACATGGGGGATAAGGCAATAAGCAGGCTACAGGGCTGGCTTCTGAGGAAAGAAGCAACCTAGCAGGAATCTGGTGGGGATAGGGCTGTAAGCAGAAAGAGGAGCTGGTCTTTGCTGAAACAAGTGGGGGACCTGCAAAGTCTTGTGAGAACGACCCTTGGCACTTACCGTGAGGGGTCCTTCTACTCTGAGGAAAGGAGGACATCTTGAGTGATTCTCACCGTCCTATCAGGGAGAAGCAGGAACAATTTTTTCTTCCTCTTCCTGTGAGGCTTGGGAACACCCACTTCTTCAGTTCGGGTGACTCCCAGCAGCAGTATGGGATAGCAGAACTTCCTAATCTTAAACAAGTGGAAACAACTGCAACATTGAAAGGTTAAGAAACCAAAAAAACAAGCAACAAATATATACAGGTAAGTCAGAAGGTAAGCAGAAGGAAGAAGAGAGCAATGAGCAAGGAGAGAGATCAGACTCTGGGTGGGGCAAGATGTCCTCCTTTCCTCAGAGTAGAAGGACCCCTCACGGTAAGTGCCAAGGGTCGTTCCTCCTCTGAGGCGGAGGACATCTTAGGTACTTTCAAAGCAGTACCCTATGCCTTGGGTGGGAGATCGCTCTCCTCTTGAATGATGTGTTGCAATACTCTTCTTCCAAAGGAGGCATCTGCTGAGTCGTAGACGTTCAGCTTGTAATGCCGGACGAAAGTAGACACAGAAGACCAGGTTGCGGCCCGGCAGACCTCTTCAACTGACACATTTTTGGCCAATGCAGCATTGGTGGATGCACTTCTAACTGAGAGGGCTGTAATTCCAGTGGGAACTTCCAGGTGAAGTGACTTGTACGCCTCTATGATACATGACTTGATCTAGCGTTAATGGCAGATTTGGACATTTTATTCCCCATATTGGGAGGTGAGATGTTGATAAACATGGCTTTGGTCTTTCTGATACTAGCGGTACGTAATAGACAGGCCTTGAGGGATCTGCGGACATCTAAAGTGTGCCAGGTCTTCTCTCATGGATGTTTACGGTCAGGGCAGAATGACGGTAAGTATATTTCTTGAGACCTATGAAAACGGGAAGCAATCTTTGGGATGAATGTCGGATCCGTGAGGAGGACTACTTTGTCTCTATGAAAGACGCATAGACCCGGATTAACAGAAAGAGCTCCTAGTTCTGAAGCGCGTCTGGCAGAGGTGACGGCTACTAGGAAGAGAGCCTTCATCCACATCCACTTTAGGAGCACGTCTCCTGTCTGCAACACCTGAGTAATGGACTTGAGAGTCTCCATGTGGAAGTGCCTCAGAATGATGAACTTGTTCACGAACTTCAAGTCCAAAATGGCCCTCCAATCTTCATTTTTCTTGGGCACTGTAAAAAATATCGAGTAGACCCCCTGGCCCTTTTCTTGGGCACTGTAAAAAATATCGAGTAGACCCCCTGGCCCTTTTGATCTTCTGGTACCGATTCCACAGCTCGAATGTCCAGTAGGTGTTGAAGTGCAGCAATGATTACGGCTTTCTTTCTGGGATCCTGGCGAAGTGGAGAGAGGATTAACCGATCTGGTGGAGGCCTTCTGAATTCCAAGGAGTAGCCTTTGGAGACGATTTCTAACAACCAGGCATCGACTTGGAACTCTATCCAAGTCTCCAGGAAATGTGTCAATCATCCCCCCTTTGGGATCTGGGCCGAGTCATGCCTTAATGTTCTTAAGGTCGCATTCTGACTTCTCTGGTCTGTTGGAGGCTTGTCTTCCGAAGCGTGGACTGGTGAAGTTTCTCTTGTAAGGCAGGTTGGAGGGTCCCCACGAGCTCCTTTTCTGGTTGTGCCTGGGTTTGTACGTCATTCCAGAGGGACGAAAGGAATGATTAATGGAGCTCCTTTTGTTGAGATGGCGCACATGTCTAGGCATCACCTTCTTTTTGTCCTTGGTCTCAACCAGGATCTTCTCCAGGTGGTCTCCGAAGAGCTTTTCCCCTTGGAAGGGGTATGCAATCACAAAGGACTTAGACTGCAGATCGGCTGGCCAGGCACGTATCCAAATTCCTCTCCTGGCGACCACCACCGAAGACATGGATCGGGAAGAGAAGGTAAGGGCATCCAAGGAGGCGTCAGTGGCAAATGCTGATGCTTTCATCAATCTTGTTGCTCCCTCAAGTAATCTTTTACCATCTTTTGGAAGGAGCTGAATAAGCTTTCTGGACCAGACTAACATGACCCTGGTTGCAATGGCAGCTGTGGCTTCATGTGCCCTGGTTGCAATGGCCATTGTGGCTTCATGTGCCCTTTTTAGCGCAACATCTATTTTCTTGTCCAGATTGTCACGCACTGATCCATAGCCATCTTCAGACAACAGGCCGAAGGACTGCAGCGCTGTAATCGGTGCATCCACTAGAGGGACCTGCAACATCTCATTTGCAAATGCTGGTAAGTCATACAATTTTTTAACAAAGCCTGGGGCCTGCCTGTTAGAGGTGAGCTTAGCCCATTCTGCCTTTAACTGTCTTTCAAAGAATTCTGAAAAAGGAAAAACTTGTTCAGGTGCCCTTGGATTTATTCCTGGGACTGATACCTGGACAGACCATATCCTCTTCAGAGGAGGTGTCATGTAGGTCTAGGGCTGACAGAAACTTAGACAGGAGGTACTGGAAACCCTCAGCTTTAAATAGTCTAGCTGAGGGCTGTGGAACACTGATGTCCTCAATTTCCTCATCAGAGAGGAACTCCCCCTCCCCCCTTTGGGTCAGGTCAGGATCTGGGGAGTGTTCCCTCTCTGAGACAGAGCGCCTATCACCTGGGATTTGTTTCCTGGCGGCCTTGGTGGGCCAGCTGCCCCCCGATGGTCTATCCCTAGGGAAATCCATTGGGGCTGTGATTGGAGAACTGGGACAGGACGATAGGGAAGCCAGATCTCCCATACGGCAAAAATTTAAAAAACTCTTCCCTCAACGCCTTTCTCACAGAGTGATATAAATCTTGAGAAATGGAGCTCCCAGCCTGGGAAGGTACGTTACCAAGTTGCAGTCTTCTGGCGTTCTCTGCAGTTGTGATGTGCAGCGTAGGCGATATGCTCATATATCCTGCCTGGAGATTGGCAAGCAAGGGCTGGGGCTCCTTTGCCACGCTCGTGAGTTGTGCGGGAGAAATTCCTGCCAAAATGGCGGCACCAAGATGGCTGCCGCTGGCGGTATGCAGGCAGGGACTCTCTCCAGCGACGTCTTTTTCGTGGCATCGCTTCTTCGCAGTGTTCTCCCTGCTCAATTCGGGGTCGTTGCCGGTAGCCAAGGCAAGCCCGCAGGTCATGCCAGCTCCGGTGGTGTCCCCACTGAGCTGCCCGATGGCAGCATCGCTCTCCAATTCAGAGAGATATCAGTCTCCTCTTCTCGGCATTGTCGGAGAGAGAGAGGTGGAATCTGCATTTGCCTTTCCCACCAGTGTCCCAGCCTTTTGACTCTGTCTTCAAAAAAGCTGTCTACATTTGATGTCGTTTTCACACCTCAAGAGTGCTAGCATACTTTTGCACATCCACATATGTTCATTGTCTTTTCGGGGCAGTTCCACTGTCATTGCACCTCCACACTGCTTTAGAAGAATCTTCCCCAAACAACATTCAAACAAGCATAGAGAAAGACGGCGTCACAGCAGCACGAAAATGATTTAAAAATGCAAATGCAAATTCAGCCAGAGAGAGAAAGAGGGAGTTCTAAGCTAACTTAGAAAGCCAAAAGTTGCCTCCACCCTCCCTCTAGAGGACAGAAACGAAATAGACAAGAATTAAACAGAGAAAAAAGGATAGATGGAAGAGGAAGTTTTTTAGAATAGGAATTAGTAAGAAATATAAGTTTAGGTAATAGAATAAGACCTAGAATGTTGGAGGCTAAGCCTTCAACAACCTCTCCCTGTAGAGGCAGGAAAAGAACTGAAGAAGTGGGTGTTCCCAAGCCTCACAGGAAGAGGAAGAAAAAATTGTTCCTGCTTCTCCCTGATAGGACGGTGGGAATCACCCAAGATGTCCTCCGAGGAAGAACATCATTTTCCCTCCCCCATTATTTCCTCTTTCCTTTCCCTCACTCCCCAAAGCTTCTCTCCTTTTCTTGCTTCCTTCTTTCCAGCCAACAGCCAACCTACCTTTATTTGTACCATGGTCTTCAGCTTTCCCTTCTTCCTTCCGGTAGAAAAGGGCCCTTCCCCCCACCTTTTACTGCCAGAAACCAAGGCTTAAAGGCTGGCAATATTGTTGTGGTTTCGTAACAATGCACATAATGATCACTGAGAGGGCGTTTTTGTTAAAGCTACAGGCACTGCCTCTATTATTTTGTGGGGGGTTTAATCCCCCCAATGTATTTTTGTTCCTTTAGATTTCAGATTTTTCTGCAAACCTGGAGCTTTTTTCTGGTTTGTATAAAGATCTGTCTTGTCTCCAGCTTTAATTATCCATAGATGGGACCATGTTGACAATTAAATATAATGATGTGGTGACAATTAGGTAGACTGTCTCCATTCCCTTTTCTCCAACAATAACCTCAAAACTGATATTCTAGTATAGTGGTTCCTACACTTACCATGTGGATCAGCATCCATGAGAGCAAAGATAGGTACATGACATGAATCCCACAATTTTTTGACTAGAATTCTTGTGTTTAGATCTGGCACACCTTTTCCCTAAAGAAATAATGTTCAGTTAAGATGCATATAATAAACCATATTTTAAATATATTGTTAGAAATCATCTTGCTATCATGTAAATAAGTCTAAAAGTTAACTTCATACCGTAATCATTATACATGGGGACAGTTTACTGCAGAAGTTGTCATCCAAGAGTCTCTGAAATGTTGCATCTTTTTCTACAATTAGTATAAATTCTGCATCGGTGCTCAAATCTATATTGTTAAGGCTATAAATGAAATCTAATATTAGTTGAATTTCATTGTACCACATAATGAAATGATGAATACATATAGTATATGTATCTTGTCTCATAATTCATTATGCATATCATATGTTAAAGGGAAAATGTTAACATTGCAGCCTTGGTTGGTACAAACAGACATTTTGTCTAAAGGATACTTCTCATTCCTTCAACATTAGATGGTACGGCTGTCTAAAATGACAAAAGCGAAAGGAATAATTACAAATGGAGAAAAGATATATAATAAGGAACGGGAATAAATCTCCCCTCCAATCCTTAATATCCAGAAGAGTTTTCTACAGTATTTATTTATTTACTTCATTTATAGCCTGTATTTCTCCCACATGAGGACCCAAAGTAGCTTATATTGTTCTTTTCTCCTCCATTTTATTCTCACAAGAACCCTATGAGGTAGGTTAGACTGAGAAGAGTGACTAGCTAGCAAGCTTCTATGGTAGAATAGAGATTTGTATCCAAGTCTCTAGTCTGACACTCTAACCAATACATGATACCAATACAGACTCTGCCTAATATGTCTTTATAATAGTACATGTTGCTTACATCTCTCATATTAACTGCCTGATTCTAAAAATGTATGCTCGGATGTTTGTCCCACTGAACAATATTAAGAACATTTTCCTGGGAGTAAGCCCCACTGAGTAGACATGAGTAGGATTCTGAATAGACCTGCTTAGTATTGCTCTCTTAGGCTGTGTGCATAAATTAGACATGCTAAAGAACACAGCCTAAGAGAGCAATACTAAACAGGTCTATTCAGAATCCTACTCAAGTCTACTCAGTGGGGCTTACTCCCAGGAAAATGTTCTTAATATTGCACTGCTAGATACTCCTCCAAATACTATAGACTTCTTTTATGCCGGAACACTCATAAGGTCAGTAGACAGTGCTAAAAGTTAAATATCCTGATGACAGATGTTTACAGAAATTTTAGCTGTGCTGTATTTTCCATTTGTTTTACCATTCTTCATCTGATATTCAGAGTTATGAAAATCTTTGTTAACATTTCATATGTCATACAGGAATGTGCTTCAATATGGCAAACATATGGAGGGGGAAAAACAGGACAGAAGAAGAAATCGGCATAGTAAGTTGAAGTGTGTGGTCTTAATGTTCAACTACAGTGTCATTGCAGGTGCCTGTTATAGAACAGTTGAACATGCTTAAATATGAGGGTTCCCGAAGAACTACATACCTCCAATTAATGGATTGAAGTCTTTCATACCTTTATAGTACTTCTGTGAATACTTGTAAGTACATAGGCAGATGTTCTGTTAATAGTTTTAAAAGAGGCTCTTTTTTTTTGCTGTCAAATCACAGCTGACTTCAGGGCAAGAGACATTCAGAGCTGGTTTGCCGTTGCTTGCCTTTGCGCCATGATCCTGGACTTCCTTGGTGATCTCCCATCCAAATACTAACCAGGGCCCACACTGCTTAGCTTCCGAGATCTGACAAGATTGGTCTAGCCTGGGCTATCCAAGTCAGGGCAAAAGAGGCAATAGCTAAGTAACAATATGTTTTTTTTTTAAATTTCTCTGCTTACTGTGTAGCACTGAAAATAGTAGAAGGTAGCATTTATTATGCATTTGCTACAGCAAATGGGAAGAAATTTCCAAGCAGACATGGATTATTTTTTCCCATAGAATGTCCTACGCTGCATCCACATTTATGGCTTAAGTCCCAGAAACCATTAGGACTGGATCCCACAATCCATCGGCAGAAGGTGGTGATGGTCGCTGATCTCCCCAGCTTTCCCCTTCCCCCAGCAGCCATTTCCAGTCATGGAAAAGTTTATTTACAGGGTCCTGGTATCCACAAGTAATAGCCACTCAAATTAGGAGGCTGCATTAGGGAAAGTGCTTGAAATTGCTCCCTCTAGCCTCTTGAGTGGCTCTCACTAGCTGAAGAGAAAGAAGAGTGACTTTGCCCCCTGAAGCCTTCCCACTGCAGTCTCCCATCCCATGTGGCAACTAATCAAATCCATACTGGTTTTACAACCCTGGGAATAAAACTTTCCAGGGCTAGAAATGGCTACTTGGAGGAAGGGAAAGCTGCAGTGGTTGGCAACCTGTGTGCAATTCTCAAAGAGTCTTTGTGCTGGATACATCCCATGCATTGGAAGTGTAAGGTGCTGGTGGGGGTGAGTTTTTCTTGCCTCCCCTTCCCCCAGCAGCCACTTGTGAATCCTGATAAAGTGATGCTGGGGGACGGGGGACTTGTGTGATGAGAGGCCATGCAACATAGGTGGCTGCACTGAGAATGCACAAGCTAACTAAATCATCCCTTCTGTTCCATTAGTGTTCTGTTGGTGCAAGAGGCTCTTCCAATGGAAGAGGCAGCGAGTTACAATTTTGTTCACTTTTTCCTCCTGAATGCAGCCACCTGTATTGTGCAGTTATTTAGTTACATGGGTCCTCCAACTCAACATCACCTTTTGGAGGCTCTCAGGTGGGTGCTGGGAAAGGAAGAAGCAGGAAAGATCAGCCTTCACCTTCATCATCCCCACCAGCCTCTCCTGGGCCAGCAGAGCATAGGAGGAGAGAGTGCTTGACAGCTCAAGAAAAAGAACAAACCTTGCTCACCACCCCTCTGTGCATTGACCTTCTTAGCAAACAGCTCTACCCTGACCCTGCTGCCTTGTACCTTGTCTCTGGTAACCTGTGCTTGCTTCTGAAGCCTGGGACCCAGACACTGTATCCTGCACCTGTTCCTAAGCCTGACCCCTGGAGTGGACCTTTGGATCTCTGACCCTGGATTGTTTTGTAGACCTTGCTCCTGTATCTTCCTATTCTTGTTGTCTTTTTATTTGTGTATCCTGGAAACTCTGGGTAGAACAACAGTGCCAGGCTTAGCCCTGAGTGCAACATGCTGCTATCAAATCCACTGAATCAAAAATACATACCATTGTACTGCAGGTACAATTAACTTTTGTGCCATCTTCCTCAACGTAACTTAAATTACCAGCAATACATCCTTTGCTGGTAGACAGCTAGAAAATAGGAAGCATCAATCCAGTCATTATACACTCAGCTAGATATTATACATTGCAAATTGTCAGACTATCTATCTAGTTCCCTTTCCCCCAGCACAACTGGTTGGTTGCTCCGTGAGACCGGATGCTGGACTATGGACCACTGGTTTGATCCAGCGGTGTTCTTCCTGTGTTATTCAAGGAGCACAGCATGGCAAACATGGTTCTTCCTTCCCTTTTGCAGACATCTCTAAGTAAGCACTGGTGTGCTGACATAAAATTTTCTTTTATTTTCACAGTATATGATAAAGGGGGGAGAGAATGCTTATGCAGACATAAACTAAAAATTAATTCTGATATATATATATATGATTCTTTGCTTCCTACTATCAGATTTCTCTGAAGACAACCAAGTAGGCAACCCTGGAACTAACAGCTCTGGAAATAACCGTAGTAGGCAGAAGATGTAGGTCATGTTGATGTGATTATTTGTGTCATTTTTATAGTGACTCATAGCCAAGGAGTTCAAGATGGCATACAAAATAAAACACACATTAAAATCCACAATCATCATGTGATGATGTTGCTGTGCTATGTCACGCTTCCAGAACAATGAGACTAGGAAATAGCAATTTGCAACATGGAAGGATAACTCATTGTAAAAAATTAGGGAGGTTGTCTCAGAAAAATACTGCAGACGCTGGATCCAACCAGATTTTCCACTGGCGAAAAAGGGACCCTAACTTTTCCCCACTAACCCTAATCCTTTCACTGTTGAAATTGCTATTACGGGCATCATGGGACCTGCATGGATAAAATGCATGTGGGATGAAAGGCTGTAGAAAGGAGGAGGGGTGCTGGGCAAGATTGGGCAAAAGTCTGGCTGGAACCAACCCTCTCTTTCATGAAAGGCTGGTATGCCCACTTTCCTAAAGGCCTGAGCCTAGATACTCATTGGTAACTAAGCATTTTTAATAGCTGACTCCTAAGCCTCCACATTCAGCCATTCATTTGTTCCTATCTCCAGCTTGAAACAGAGGATAAAGTAATACTTGGAAAATCTGCAAGTGTAGATTAAGAAAGGATTTATTTGTTGCCCTTTCCCAAACATTTTAAACTTTTTCAGATCATACAAAGAAAGCTATTTAATACTTAACAATATGTAGACTCCTCCTAGGTATCCTGAGCATACAAGAAATATCATTGATAATGATGTCCACAACTCTTTGGTTGCCAAAACATTGTGTATCAGTATAAAATATATCTCTGTCAAGATAAAATGTAAACAAGTATACAAAGTATTATTAATAGACCTATTTAATTCTGATGTTGCCACAAAAGAAAGAGTCTTGATTTTCATCGGATTTCCTGTGCTATCTGCCTCCCTCTGCCTGAACTCTGTTCTGCCCTCCCTACATTCAGCATGGACCATCACAGAACAGATAAAAAGTTGTGGGGTTTTTTTGCTAAATGTACATGGTAGAACACCCATCTCCAATATATTTCACCCATCACTCATCTCCAAGATGGTGGGTGATTCATAAACTATTTGCAGACTTATAGGTCTCCTCTCCTATAATCCAGGAGCAGGATTTCAAGGGACGTTTTTGGCTGCTGTGGAAGGAGGAAATTGAGGAAATTGCACTCTGCAGACAGAACTCCTTGTGCCTACAGAAACATGGTGTTCAGTCCACCTCAGTGACTAGCTAGCAACCCTTAATGGACTGCTAATGTCACTGGAGGTTGCTAGCCATTCTCCATAGCTTAGAGGGAACATTGGTGTTGACATAGTATCCTGCCTCGACCATGACCTCTCAATCATTACTGGGGAGGATGAGAATTCCTCTTCCTTCCCTCACCATGCAGTGGCAGCCAACAGTTCTCATGAGTAAATTGTTTCACTGGCCTCTATTGGATATTGGCCTGACTGAAAAAGTTGAATGCATACTCAGGATCACTAATCAAAGATTAGCTGTGTTTTAAATATTGAGGTATTCTGCTTTGTAAATATAAAGCATCTAAGTAGAATATGTGGATTCTACTTTTAAAATATAGACCATTTAAAACTGAAATCTGCTCATCCTTGCACACGAAAGCTCATACCTAGAAAAAACCTTTGTTGGTCTTAAAGGTGCCATTGGTCCCAACAAGTGTCTACATTGAGGGATCATTTCAATCTATATGCAAAGGCCCATGAGCAAGTTTTGCAAAGTAAGTAATAAAAGTTAGGTTGTTGCACTGTTAACACAGTGCTCTTACTGGTGCGTATCCATTAGACAGTCTCTCCGTCAGTCGTGTATCATATCTGAGAAGTTTAGCATGCTTAATTTAATGCAATTTAAAGTGTATTTTTGATTTTGAATTTGATATCTAAATATCTCAAATATTATTACCTTTTAGTTGCATAAATATTGGACTGCACCATCTTATAGATGATAGATAACATTTTAAGGAATAGTGCTGAAATATGAAACATAATTTATAAATATTATCCATTTTATTAAAAACATTGGCTTGCTGTTAGGTGCATTTTCAAATAGATTACTCTTTAAAAAATACTTTAATTTTAAAATATTTACACAGAGGAGGAGAGAAAGAGAGAGAGAGAATAAAGTTTATGCTTACAGCTCCTAATTTAGCCATTGGTATATATGTGGAAGCCTGTTCACATAATGAGATCTCCTTTGATGGGCCATGGCTAGAACATCTTGGGCTACATATGTACAGAATGTTATGTTTCTGGGTGATCTGGATGCCAGATCCTGCCAGTGGTGGCAGATTTTTTTTTAAAATCACAGTTATTGCATGCGGTGTGATGATGTCACTTCCAGCGAAAACACAGAAATGATATTGTGCTGCTCTAGAGATTGCCAGAAACTCTGTGGTTTTACCATATTCTTAGAATGATGACATGTCACTTCTGGCTTCCCCCAGAAGTGATTTTATGCTGCACAAAATGGCAATACCCCCATATCCCTCCAGTTACCAGCCATCAGCTGGCAACCCTTGTTGCTAATCCAAGGATGAGGCCCAGAGTTCTCTTGGAATTACAGTTGATTTCTAGAGTACAGAGATCAGTTCCCCTTGTGGAAATTACAGCTCCAGAAGGTGGACTCTATGCCTTCACAACCTTGCTCAGCTCCTTCTCCTTCCCAAACTCTGCCCTCCCCAAATACCTCTCCCAAATTTCCAGGAATTTACCAAGCCAGAGTTGGCAACCTTATAAAATACCTTAATCCAGGACACAGTTCTTGCCTCTTTTCAGAGGAGATTTATGAATATCTGTGTGCCAGAGTTTTCCAGAAACCAGGACGCTTACACAATTCAACAAATTTCTATTATTTGTTAAAAATATTTGCTAGTGTGGGAAGTGCCTGTTCAAGGCAACGGTGTAAAAATATCTGTTTTTAGATTTTTCTAGTAATCAGGATACCTTGGGCTACATATGTGTACAAAATTGGAGGGCTTTAGCTCATGGGGTAGTACTTGAACAATTTAAATACCCCTGTCAATCCACAAGTCAGTCAGTCAGTGTTCCTTAACTTAAGAACATGAGAAGACAATGTTGGATCAGGCCAGTGGCCCATCTAGTCCAACACTCTGTCACACAGTGGCCAAAAATATAAGATGCCACCAGGAGGTCCACCAGTGGGGCCAGGAAACCAGAAGCCCTCCCACTTTTGGCCCCACACAGCACAAAGAATACAGTGCATCACTTGCCACTGATGGACCACTGTTCCATATGCTTATCTAATTCCCTCTTGAAGCTGTCCACGTTTGCAGCCACCACCACCTCCTGTGCCAGTGAATTCTATGTGTTAATCACTCTTTGGGTGAAGAACTACTTCCTTTTATCTGTTCTAACCTGACTGCTCAGCAATTTCATTGAGTGCTCACGAGTTCTTGTATTGTGAGAAAGGACTTCTTTCTCTGCCTGCTGTATCCCATGCATAATCTTATAAACCTCGATCATATCACCCCTCAGCCGTCATTTCTCCAAGCTAAAGAGCCCCAAGCATTTTAACCTTTCTTCATAGGGAAAGTGTTCCAATCCTTTTATCATTCTAGTTGCCCTTTTCTGCACTTTTTCTAATGCTATAATATCCTTTTTGAGGTTTGGTGACTTGTTGATGAGTTCTAATTTGGCACTTTCATGTTATTTTTTCTCTTTGAAGTTTTTTTTAAGAATAGTAAACACTGTCTCTCACCCTGGACTAAGCAAATACTTGGATTCCAGGATCCACTTTTTAGATACTTTAGTAGGCTTTACTTTACATATGGTATCATACTGTAACACTTCACTGGTGTTAGTTAATTTTTCTTAAGCTTCAGCCTGCTTCTTCCTTGATTAGTTGTGTTTATCCAACTTGATATACCTTGTTTATATGTCCATGATGAGAGGCTAGAACCTCTGATCTCTCTCATCATCCATTATGTGTAACAACCAGATCGGTTCCAGTCTCTTACCCAGGGCATCACACCTGAAAGATTTATGAGGATTTATACCAAGCTTCTCACTGCTCCAACTCTTCCTCATTCTCCCTGCCCTTGTGTGATTTTTCTTATAAAAATCTCCAGAATGGTTTCCTTCCCATAACTTCTAAAGAAGTGCACTCTGACTCACAGCAGCTCATACTGGCATAAATGTTATTAATCTCTAATGAGCCACTGGATTTTTGTTTTATTTTGCTACAAGAGACCAACATGACTACTCCTCTGGAATATACGTGTATACACACTGAAGTTTTAAATTACTTCACATAACATTTTGATATTATGTATATACGGTAGGATACAAATTACTTTTAGTGTACTGCAGAACATTACAAAATGGTAAATTAAATCAGTATCTAGGAGTTTGGGTTTTTTAAAACTTACCAAACTTTGGGGCTGACTTGGGACAGTCACTTCTTATTTTCCTTCTGGTACAATTAGATGTCATCTGCAAACCTACAGTATCTTCGAACCTATGATTTGGTAAATCAATTCAGTTTTTAAAGATAATATTATTTGTCATATACTCTAGAATCCCCATTATCATGCAAAACACAAAATGTGGCCTATAAGTAGCATTAGACAACAACAAACTTTGAAGAGTATGACACATAATGCTAGACTCGTGCACAGTGGAAATATAATTTTCTTCATTTATTTCTTTTGTATTCAAAATACATGACTGTTAACTGAGCCAATTAATAAATAAAGTGATCAAAAGTAGCTTGGAAGCATGCTTGACAGTAATATTTTAAATGGATCCATGATGAAAGGGAAAAACAGTTGCAATAAATATTGTTCAAAATAATTACAAAGTCCAACAGGAGGATAAAACCTATGTGAAGATATGGTATATGTTTAAGAATTCCCTGGGGCTAGTTACTTATTGCTACGCTTCAGTGATCCTTATGAATGTGTCAAGCAGAAATTCATAATGTATACAGAAAGTGTTTGGTAATGCTGCACCTACTGAATTTCTGCCTGGACATTATTTATTTATTTGCTTTATTACATTTCTAGCCCACTCTCCTTGCACAGCAGGCTCGGAGAAGGGTACAAGTACTATAAACATAGACAATCAGTTAGCAGAAATACAGCATAAAAACATAATAAGTTGTTGTGTACCAATTTAGACCGTGCACGTGGTCCCTCTGCACTCATGGTCAGCTTCGATCTCAGAGACAATGGGCACCTAGGATCATAGTAACAGCCTATCGGCTGACCAGGATCCTAAAGGAACCCTATCAGATGTAGGATTATGTAAATAGCCAGTCACGGGTGTATGGGTGTGTGTGGGTGGAGTTGTTGTTGTACATTTAAGCAGCCCGTGGGCTTGCCCTGTACCTTCTATCTTCTGAAATCACTTAGTAAAGTATGAGCTAAAAATCACTTAGCGATGCGTCAGTCTCAGTACTTTTCACTGGTGATGAGGATGGGATCCCGATGAGTGGGCCGGACTCTGGATCCCAACACGCACCGAGCACTGATCCATTGGACACCACTGCGGCCCGCACCGCTCACGAGCAGCACCGCACTGTGTAACGCTCCCCAGTGTAACGCTCCCCAGGACATCGCTCCCCGCTACGATTAGGAGTCATGGCTACCACTCCGGGACAGATCTCCACTTTCAACCCAGCACATCCTGAGCTCTGGGAATCCTGGGTCGAACAGCTAAGCCATTTCTTCAAAATTCAAAAAACCACGGATGAGGATCTGAAAAAATCATGGCTCCTGAGCACGTGCGGTGTCACCATGATACGGCTGGCAAGGAGTCTGATCGTCCAAAGAAAATAGAAGCAGCCACCTATGGCGACCTGATCAAGGCCCTGAACGGGTGTTACACACCAAAGCCTTCGGTCATGGCCATGCGGATGGACTTCATCGCCCAAACACAGAAACTCGACGAGACCACCTCCAACTTCCTGGCCGACATCAGACGGCTGGCCATAGACTGTGTATTCCCTGACATGGAGGACGCGCTGCTGACCCAATTCGTGAGGAGAATTCAGGAGCCGAAGCTACAGTGCAAATTGGTCGGCCTCGAAGAACGGAAACTAGAGAAGGCCCTCCAGACAGCCACGGCATTCGAGACGTCCCAACGGGATCGACAAGCCGCTACAGCTCACCAGGCCAACATCATCCCAGACTCCGGCAACTCCAAGAACGAGGATGTCTATCAGCTGTGGCGACCCACCCAGGCCAGCACCCCAGCTCACCGCTCGTCTGGGCCAACTCACCGCTCTGCCAGCTCGACCTCAGCTTGTGCCAGCTGCGGGGAAGACCATGAGCACCGTTCCTGCAGGTTCCGTGATGCGATCTGCCAGACTTGTGGAAAGACCGGCCATATTGCACATGTCTGCCTCTCCAAGGGAACTCAGAGATGGAAGACAGCACACACGGCATCCTTGGACCTGAACTCCCTGACTGTCAACCACCAGCACCATCAGGTACTGAATTTGCCCCCTGAAGCCCCAAACAAACTGCATGTCCCACCTCATGCGGGAACTTGGTGACCCTAGATTATTTGTTGTTGTTCAGTCGCATAGTTGAGTCCGACTCTTCGCAACCCCATGGACCAGATCATGCCAGGCCTTCCGGTCTTCCGCCGTCCTCTGAAGTTTGCTCAACTTCATGTTTGTTGCATCTATGACACTGTCTAACCATCTCATCCTTTGCCGTCCCCGTCTTCTTTGACCTTCAATCTTTCCCAGCATCAGGGTCTTCTCCAGTGAGTGCTCCCTTCTTATTTGGTGGCCAAAGTATTTGAGCTTCAGTTTCATTATCTGGCCTTCCAGGGAACAGTCAGGGTTGATTTCTTTTAGGATTGACTGATTTGATCTTCTTGCAATCCAAGGGACTCTCAAGAGTCTTCTCCAGCACCATAGTTCAAAAGAATCTATTCTTCGGCGCTCGGCCTTCCTTATAGTCCAACTCTCGCAGCCATACATGACTACTGGGAATACCATTGCTTTGACCATGCAGACTTTTGTTGGCAGGGTGATGTCTCTACTTTTTAATATGCTGTCAAGGTTTGCCATCGCTTTCCTCCCAAGGAGCAGGCGTCTTTTAATTTCATGACTGCAGTCACCATCTGCAGTGATCTTGGATCCCAGGAAATGTCTCTACTTTTTATCATGCTGTTTCGGTTCGCCATTGCTTTCCTCCCAAGGAGCAGGCATCTTTTAATTTCATGGCTGCTGTCACAGTCTGCGGTGATCTGGGATCCCAGGAACGTGAAGTCTGTCACTACTTCCACGACTTCCCCTTCTATTTGCCAAGGAGTGATGGGGCCAGATGCCATGATCTTAGTTTTTTTGATGTTGAGCTTCAAGCCCACTTTTGTGCTCTCCTCTTTTACCCTGAGCAAGAGGCTCTTAAGGTCCTCTTCACTTTCTGCCATTAGAGTGGTATCGTCTGCATACCTGAGGTTGTTGATCTTTTTCCCAGCAATCTTAATTCCCAC